TCAGAGCCTCCATCAGCCAAGGCCACCGAGTAATCCTGTGTATAACTAGTGTACCTTTCCTGAGCCCATAGGAAAGTGTTACAAGGAGCCCATCCATCTCTTATTGATTCAGGCCGGTCTTCAGAGTAGGCCATCTATTAATATCAGTTATAGTTCAGCTTTTACTGCCGGACGCTCATTTGAAAATGGACGACTTCATGTCCCGTTAGCATCCCCATCTACAGGACATTACCCACACAGATTTACGCCTCCTACTCATGGTATTACGAATTAAAATGTAGACAGGCTATAGATTTGTGCCTACACTAATGACTCCTTTAGATTTCCTTTATATCTCTATAAACTTCTTTATGATCACTACTTTCTACCCTCAAACACACAACGTCAAGATACTGTCGCAGCAGGACTGTCACGACAGGAACACACATCATATTTCATATTTTAAAAGTGTTTTTAGACCAAAACATCTATGTATAGAGGCAGCAGTGTGACCTAGTTGAACATCAATCTAACCGGGACAGGATCGGGGTCATAAAATTCACAGGCTCTCGGGGAAGGAGTGTGAGGGGGTGGGGCAGTGGTCAAGGACAGCAGGAGTTTCATCTTCCCCACCATTGATGGTGTTGCTTTCCTGCGGAGTGCCAGCCGACACCTCCATCTGACCTCGTCATCCCACTGTGACACGATCGCGTCGACTGTCTACCGTCACGAGCGGGCCCGCCGCATTCTCCTGCTCCCCGAGCAAGCATCTGCATCCAGACCGACTCTCACAGACACAATGCAACAGCTGAGCACCCGGTAGAGTTTAGGGAATCGTTTTCTCAGTGTCTGACGTGGTTTCATGCTACAGTATGGTTTTCAAAAAGTGACTAACCTTGTGCTTCTCAAGCTAAAGGTTCAATTCGTCAATTCAGATTCACTGAGACAAGCTTATGCTACATACAGAGTAAATTCAGACAAATCAGTGCCCCAGATTGGCGGCTTTGTATTATTTTAGGCATGACAACAATTACCAAACCCCAGTTGTCTCAGAACTGGAGAATAATGCCGAGCAGCTTGGTACTCTTCACATAAATAGCTTTGTAAGGACTGAAAAAGTGTGAAGATTCCCTTCATTCATCCGTGAGCCATGGTTTTCCTCCTCTCTGCCTATTCATAAACCCTTTTAACAATGTCTGCAGATGACTGTTAGCAAACCGTCTGAAGCATCATTTGAACAATTTTTGGGAACTTAAAGCCACCAACGGCCTAGATGATCAAATCGTTTCCAAATGAATACAGTTCACGGCCTCAATGAAGCATTCAGAGCATTACAGTGTTTGAGTGTAGAGCGGTACCCTCTAAGCTTTAATGACACGATCTTAAGCAATTAGCTGATGTAAACATTAGTGTTTGGTGACTGTGTTCTGTTTTCTGAACCTCCTAATCTTTTCAAACCGAGCACAGTATATCATAGTCCCATGGTTAGTGTTGAATTTATATCAACAGAATTGTTCACAAAAATGTTTGAACTAAAAACGTTTTTTTTTTTTTTTACCCAAGTGTGTAACCAATTGATGAAAGAAATACCAGACACTGAGCAGCGAGGTAACGAGTCTCACTCAATTCAACCGATCCATCTTTCTGAAGCCAATAGGATGAAAATGGGAGGGAAAACACAGGAACAGCCGTTTAGGCGCTGCACCATAGACGCTTCATGTCGGATTCACCGGCCTCTGTGTGGACAGACTGCATTTCCTCATCTTCGGCCCCCCCTCACAGTTTGCCTTGCAGATAGAGGGAATCACCGAGGTGAGTTAAATTGAGTATCCGAAGAAGCCTGTGTTAGACTGGCTGCAGGTCCGTGATGATGGAAGCGCATGGCGTGGAAAATAAAGAAGTAGAGACGTCTTCTGCCTGCACACGGAACGGAGTGGCCCAAGGGGACTCGATATAACACACCAGCGTCCGCAGACTGGGGATTTAATGCCGCGTTGGGCCTTTGTGCCACATTATTATCAGCCAGTGATCCGCCAGGCACATGGGCAGCTCTGGATCCCTTCAGCAGGGAGCATTCTATCCCCCTCCAGTCTCCCTCCCTATGCTGCTACCACTATTCAGACAGAACCGGGCTTAGCTGCCGTTATTGAAATGCTACAGAAGGGACAGCCTGCTTAGTCTTTAAAAAAAAAAAAAAAAAAATAAAAATAAAAAAAACTTGAAATGACAGAATAGTATGATGCTTAAAGGAAAGGCAGACTACTTTGTATCTCACCATACAAGTATGTTGACAATCACTCGTGATATGAATCACCCCTCTGATGGATTTCCTCCTCACCAGATGGGCTAACCTGCTTTATTCCACCTTTGCTGTAAACTGAGCAAGGGGATTTCTCCAGTCTGCATGCATGCCAGCTATGATAACCAACCAGATGCATGTTGACACATGTCTAAGCTTAGATTGTGTGTTGATTCAGCCAATCAGCTTTGCCATTAATACACTGTGGGCAGGATCCAAGCACCTTCAAACGATCACGGAAGCGCATGTCGACGAGATGAGCATCACGAGGAGCCTGTCTGTTACCACTGGATCACACACTGAACATGTTAATAGCTCTGTAGTCACGCATATTCCAAGTGTCCTGGATAGGATTATTTAGGCAGCACATTTAGCCGGGTTGGCAGCCACTTTGGATGTTTCCACCTGGCAGAAAACAACAGTTACCGGGTAGAGCGGCAGTCTGAGGGGTGTGTAGCGTGGAGGGCTGACGGACAGACTGCTGATGGATTAGGTAGTAAGCCTGGCAGAGGGCTGCCCTTTCTAAATGGAAGCCTGCCTGATGCACTGTGGTGATTAAAATATCAAACCGAAGGGCAGAGAGTGTACTTAGGCCCTCATAAAAACACTCAAAAGAAATGCTGCAGAGCAAGGGTGACAAAGCAAAACAGGAAGCAGGAAGCTACATCATAAGTCATCAACCTGGCAGCGCACAAGGGTGATCAAATGCCACATCTACCACGCTTAAAAGATGCTTAAAGATAAATTGCTACATTCCGATTCTCAACACACACGGGGAAAGGATTGCGCACAATGTAAAGCTGAATTGTTTGAATGTGTATCCTAAATAAGTGGTGCGAGTGTGACAGCAATAGCTGCTGCATAATTTATGTGTTCACCATTCAGACTGCAGCAGCTGCACAGGTCTGCAATTTGAGAGTGAATCCTCGCTAGAATTCGGTCATCTACCGTCAAGATCCGCAAGTGTCTGTGTAAAAACACCAGCTTCTGCTGGGGGGGCACACGCAAGATGACAAACTGCCCCAGGATTCACAAATCAAGCTAGACCAAGCTGCCACAAACCCCAGGCACTTTCAGACACAAAATATCCAGTCCGGGAGGAAAATGAATACTTTTTCTTTTTTAAATCAGACACTAGTTTCACTGGAAATTTAGCTAAGACTGAACCTAAAGTAACGCTTAATGGAAAACATTAACACGCGCATTATTGAAAAGGACAAGTGTGAAGCAGCACTCGATACAAGCTGCCCGTCAGCAGCCTGTCATGTAGTCAACATCCAGTGGGTACCATGGAAGAGCTGGACGAGAGCTACTTTCTCCAGCTCCAATAGGGTGTAATAGAACCTTCAAAAAACTACGAATTGCTCAGTATTAGATATGGGGGACTACGGATCTCCTGAGCTAAGAAACCATCTAGTTTTTCAGCTTATTGGTGGACCACTACAAATTTGTCAGTCAAAAAGAAAAAGATGCTTTATGTCACATTAGAAAATTAGAGGTTATTTAAGCCAGCATAATGCAAAATAAACTCTGTCTCAACATGCTTTACCAACTGCCCCCAAAGCATTGTTTCCACAGGTATGACAACAGTATTAGTTACCCAAATGGGGCCATTTACCCACTTTGCTGGTTTTCACCAGTAGACACAATTCCGAATCAAATTATTCTAATTTGAAGCACACACGCAAAATATCCATTTGTCATTTTAAACAGAATTAATGTAGTGAATATCAGGTTAAAAAAAAAACAGAACATCAGGGTGCTGGATTAATGCCAAACCTAGATAAGATTAAGTTAATCTGCAGAGGCTTGTGAAGCTCTTCGTGCTCAAAAATACTGAATTTTTAAATCAACTTGCATGTGTCTTAAAAAATGCATCTCTCTCAGCAGCACCATGCCTTTCCACAAAGTACAAAAACACTCTCTGCATGAGCACGTATCTCACTCTCCTGTCAAACAAAGTGATGTCACTGTTAAATTGCTGGTAAATCAGTCATCAGGTTGAGTCATTGCGGACAGTTAGCCGTCGTAATCAAATCACGCTAGTCCATATAGCATTACCCGATATTCATCAGTACCCAACAACTCCACTAAAAGTATATATATGTTAACAATAAAAAAAGGGAGGAAGTTCAGTCTAATCTAGTTTAAGCAGGCATCTGCTTTCTGTAGTGGCCAAATAATACACTCAACGGCAATAAGTCTGAGTGAGATATTAAGCTGGACGTCCAGTTGTAAATCAAAACCCGAGCCATGCAAAATTAAACCAAAAGCAGCACTGCGCGTTCTCAGCAAGGAGGAACAGAAAGAAGCGGGCAGGCATCGTAAATAATGGGCGGCGATGCCGATCACTGTGGCTCGATTCTGGCCCTGTCTTGAAAAAGGTCAGAGGTCAGGGTAGGCCACAGGAGGGCAATGAGTGGAGGTGGAGGGGGGTTTAAAGATTTCAAAAAGAAAGTCCAAAGACTGTGCACCTGAAGCCAGCGCACAGCCATAGGATAAACAAACACACCTTAAACCCCAAATCTAGTGAGCAGCATTCAAAGCCCAAAGAAAAACAGATCCTCTTATGTGCATTCACATCCACATCCTGCCTCCCCAGGTGGAGGTGTGGTGGAGGGGGCTGCTGGGGTCCCACACTGATGTGCAAATACCATTTCTTCTACACTTGTCCACACTGTCAGACTACTTGTGGCGACCATCAAAAGAGCAGCAACTTCACCTGTGTGGTCAGACGGCGGCAGGGGGCCGGACATGGCTGCTTCGGTCTTGATGGGGGCTAGGTTCAGCACGGTCAGGTCCATCTTACACTAGCTTCAGTCTCAAAGTACAAACATCAATATGACACAGCGTTAGTTTAGTCTTCCACCCACCCGTTTTTTTTTTTTTTTACCCCAGATAAAGAGACGACACGAGACTCCCTCTTTCACTCGTGGATAACTTCTCAATCGATTGTTATCGATACAGCTCACGTCCAAGTCTCTAGGAGACTCTTATCTTGGATTCTCCTTTGTGAAACTTTCCGGTCTCGACGCCGTTTGGCCACCGTTGAAACCCAACTGTAGCTAGCAAGTACTTTATTTTCCATTTTCATAAAGATACCGACCGGCCTTCTTCCATTAGCAAAGGGAATATCCCCACAAACAGTGGACATGCCGAAGAAAGCATCTCACGGAAATGAAACGCCGGCTGCAAGTGTCTCTACTTACCTTCCGCCCGGGTTCGGAGATCGGACATCGTCCTCTGGACGGGCGGCATCCCTCCACGCAGAGCCCAGCGACGGCACCTGTCAAGCGGTCGCGGCTCGTCACTTCAGCTCCCCCGCGGTTCCCAAAACCGACGAACAATTTCAAAGCAACGGGTAAAAATTCAGCGGAGGAGCCTCTGTCATTCGGGCTGGAGCGCTGCGCGTCGGCTGTTAAGAAGAGATGCAGACGAGATAAGAGCAACTTTCACTTGCGTGCGGGGACACAAACATGGTGGGGAGCCCTGCGGCACACGGATCCCCCCAGCATCCCGGTACCCCACGGCGGAATAAAGCCGTGTGGAGGCTTCAAAATAACGGTGTCGGATACGGAGTCACGGACTTACCATAAACTGAAGTGAGGGGGACGGTGCCGCCTCACATTATGGACCGTACCACTTATAACCACAGCGGGAGGGTAGACTAAACAAATAGCTGGAAATTCAACACGATCTGGGGTTAAATAAATACTAAAAATTGTATATTTCTTTTACTAATTAGACGGGCCTAAGGGCTGGATATTTTCCAGGGTGGCCAGGGAAGCTTTAATCACAATATATTATTTAAATTTGCCAACAAATTGCTCGTTGGTGAGGACACCTCCCCCTTTTGCGGCAGTTGTTTGCTTATATGTTGGGAGCTGGTTTGTAGCTGCTGAATTATGTTTGCTTCAAATAAATATCCAAACGTGTTAATAGGAACGGTAATGTTTGCATATACAAACTTCTGGGCTCAAGCAATCTAATGTGAGTCATAAAATGCTTATCAACAGAGGGCCCATGTCAAAAGTCAACACAGTGCACAATATGTTTGATGAAAGTATGCTTCAAATGTCTTGTTCAAAATTACATGTATTTATATAAGAAACTTGAGGGATACGTAATGGTATTAGATATAATATGCATATTACATAATAGGATAGATGCAACATCCTATACATTTTTCAAAACTAGGAGAACTGTATTGTTTGGTTATATTAGGATTATTCAATATACAGTGAAAATGCAATACAACAAGTATAAACTGAGTGAATTTTGAATTAGATTGTATCATAACTTCAAATAGTGTTATCAGGAGCCACACCAAAGACAAGCCCATATCATTTTTCTAGGGTATACCACGCTTTCCACTCAATGCTATATATTTTTCTTTTCTGGCCAATGCTTATTCTTAAAATGTTTTGGCTTTAATGGTTTACTTTGTTATTCTTCATCTGTAATTTGAATTTTAAGGCTTTTTGAAATTATTTTTATGTCTTTGTTTCAAAGAGTTGCTTTCTTGACATATTGTGTGTTTATCACTTGATCTCAGGGCTGTCTGGGATCATGTCTCAAATTTATAACCTGCAAAAGTAAACCAAAATTTGAGTTGTACCAGAAATAAAACAGGGAGTAGTAGCCAAATATTGAGTGGCTGAAGTCAAATTATTGGTTAATTTCAAGGCTATAAACCAAGTTGGATACAAATCCACAGTGCAATGATGTATAAAAATACTGTGAGGTTATTTTGTCTTGCCACTGGGCTTTCATCAGATGGCAGTCTCCAGTTCCCATTTTGCTCTTACAGAGCAACAAGTGGCAATATTTCATTCACATGGAGTCTTTTAGGGATCATCTGGGTGTAGAAAACCTCATTTGTTGCCTTATCATGAACATTGCATCCAAGGACATTTCACTGTGTCTTCTATTACCAAATGAATACATTGATTTATTTGAATGGCTTTAAAAATGGTTCAAATCTCGGAGAGAAATAAGGAAGCTATCAGTGCAGCGACAGACCTGGACAGATACTGACCACAACAAAGAAATGAAGCAGTTGTAAGCAGACACTAGTATCAGTCACTGTGTTATTATGTGATTATTGTCTGTAGATGGGCTCAGCAGAAGATTTAATCCGCAGGTGACTCACACAAGCACAATGTTTCTTTCACATATCCCTCGACAGCATGTGCCTCCGCTGTCCAGAATCTGCTCTAACGTGCCCCCGCTGTACACTTTACAGCCCTCTGCACGGCGGTGCAAAGAGGAAAGCGGCAGCAACGCCATCTTTGCTGTCTACCTGCTGTGCAAACCTAATGCTCTCAGTCTCACTGCGGTTGAAATGCAAATCACAGTGCAGCTGAGATTTGTGCGGCAGCAGCACCACTGCGGTTGCATGAGGGAACTGCAGAGACTTTCCAGCTGGATGGGGAATTTAACATCACGGATTGGGGAAAATGCTTCCTGTGCAGACCTAGAAAAGAAATTCACCTGTTACTGTCGCCAGCCTTCCAGCTTATTTTCAAGTGACTTGAAACTTTAAAATGTTTGTTTTCCTTTCAGCATTATGGGGGGATTATATGGTGTATCTCCCACTGAAAGTGATAAGTAATCAGCAGTGCAGCAGAACGTGTTAAATTGCCTCTTTGTTAAAACCTCCAAGTCCTGGTCTCTCCAGACCTCCCAAAAAGGAGGTGATATAACACCCAGAACGACTGTGTTACATACAGTGGGAGGTCAGGATTCGACACATCCAAAAATAAGAAATTAACACCTGTACATCTTCACCTCCTCCTTTTGTCTGGTAAAGACACATCTCTCCCAAGGATTTCCTTTTTTTTCCCCCACTCCACCTAATTCAACATCAGCTCACCACCACGGGGATTTGGCTCTGTAGCCCCCACGGTTGCTAGGCAACAGTGACAAGAAGCCTGCCTCTTAGATTTTGTGTGAGGTGAACTGGTTTTCTGTCTTATAGCGTACCCAGCCCAAACAATGACTCATTCAAACAGCCTTCTTCAGCCACTTTTCAAATCTGTGTCAAATGCAAATTGCATGAGTGTCTAATTCGTTTAGAGCTTTGCAGACCTTCAACAGATGCTCTGTGCTGTACCATTTTTTAAAATTATTTCTTTGTTTTTTTTGTTTTGGATTAATTTTGCTCAGTAACTACACATAATTGCGACCAGCGTCCTGTTAAAACAATCTGACGGAAAAAAAATAAAGATCATGATCAATCTTTGAGGCAAAACACAGGATTCATTCAGATCCAGAATCAGGATCTATCTTTTGTTTTATTTGATTGATTAGCTATTATATTTTGTTTGTCTTTCCACATATAAAGCATACAGTGCAGGTCTGGGGCATGTCCTGGGCTGTGCCATACAGCCCTCTCCAAGTCTGCAATGGTCCTATAAAGAAACAGAAATTAATTAAAATGGATTAATTAAATTACCATCCATTTGACTAACAATCCTGGCTACTTGGAATCTTTCTCTCTTTCCTCCACTTGTTGGGTTATTAATTCATTGCATGATCCTTGTCAACTATAGTTGTACAACTGCACTCATGTTTTATTTAAGCATCATTCGCTCCAGGGCTGTTGGTTGGCTCACCACTTTGGTCCAGATGGAAACACTGTTAGATTGTAGAATTTTTTTTTTCATCAGAATTTAAAATTGCTTCAGAGGTTGAAGACTCTCCATCAATTAAATATTTCTGAACAAATTGAAAAAAGGGGATCTATCTAATTATTCTTAAACCTTGAAATACCTCATCAACCTTTTCTCGACATCACAGAGCATATTCAGTGTCCTTCAGAGACGGCTAACAAAAATCAGGTTGAATAAGCAGATTATGAATTATGTTGTGTCTAAGCTGATGCCCAAAGGCTTTTTTCTGCCACGGGAAAACACTTTCAGTTTCTTTGCTGCTGCAGAAATAGAGGAAACACAAAGTAAAAAGGTATTGCAGTTTAGATCCTAAACTCAACAGCTTTTCTGTACCCCATCCCAGATACTTATTTTATCCAATTGTAGAGGACGAAGCCCTTGTACTTTCCCATCAATGCTGAAAACCGTCCTCTATGTAACTCAGCTATTTATGTTGATGTCATCTTAGGCCACAGTCCTTTTGAGGTTCAGTTCACTGAACTTTAGAACAAAATCTTAATCCATCTCTTTTCATGATCCATTAATCTCACTTTTATGCACTTAGCTTGATTTATTCACTAAGGACTGCTCAAACTGAGAAGTTGGATGACATTCAGCTGCTCTTTCATCCTTTTGTGTGTTTCCACCTGCAACCTTACAGGGAGTGGCAGACCCATGTGTCATTTAACTTGCAGCTGAACTGCATTCTGCCCCCTTGTGGATGTTGATCTGTGATCGGGGAGGGGTCAGACTCTGCATGGCCAGCCACTCATCCCCGTAGAGTCACTGCATAGACTTGACCAACATTTTATCAATGAAAGCAGCTCATTCAGTTGAACCTACAAATAAGCATTCTAATTCTAAAGAAGTAATGGATGAATAGATGGATGTTTAGAGAATTATTTTTGATAAAACAGGTCATTTAAAACAAATGATGTAAGTCATGAAAACATCACATCACATTGTTAACCAAGAGAATTTTTATATTAAAAACCATCTATCACATTCCCCCTTTTTTCACTTCAGCCACCGCTGAGCCGACAGTCAGCAGTCAAATTAAAGAGTGTTTTAATCCCTCCAAACTGATTTTTAAATAGCTGTCGGGGTGGCTGCTGAGGCCACGGCAGCTCCGCTGATGAGCAGCGCCGCCAGATAAGCTCCTCAGGTTGCCGTCTTTTCTGAATGTGTTCCACTGAGATAAAATGGCTGCCTGACTTAACATGGCGTGGGTACATTTCACTGAACTGTAGATAAGGACGTCCCTGTCCCATTTTTTACGCTAAACTCACAGAAAGCTTAGGCTACTGGTCACATTTTTTCATCAACTGGGGCCAAAAACCCAAGAACAATCTTCAACTGTTAATCTGTTTTCACTGCAACTGGACACCTAATGCAGATGAATACCTATATTAAATTATACTATAGATAAATACCAAAAGCTGACATATTCAAATAATATGAACATTGGGTTCAACATTTAGGCATATCAGGGCCAACACAGCCCCACAGTGATGGCTGCCAAATTTAAAAGGTAAACTCTCTCTTTAATCCTCCAGACTAGAAAATGAACACAGCATGTACTTTCACGGAGGCGCTCACACTTGTTATAAATCAGGTCATCAAGTAAATGTACTGTATGTACAGGATGAGCAGCACATGCCACTTATCCTGCAAGCTGCTGTGGAAGCACTGAGGCTCTCCCACACTTCTCCTCCCCTTTGTTTTTGTGGAAATAATTCATCACATGTTATGTTACACTGAGTCAGTTTGTTAATCTTAATTTGAAGCCTGGTGTGGTCCACATTATTTATACCATGTCCAAAGACATAAATGTACAAGATCAAAGTAGAATATACTGTATTTTTTCACATAACTTTAGCTGCATTTATGTCACAGGTTTAAAAGGCAGCTGGGCTCACTCTGGATCAATAAGACCTGGAATCTGAGCCAGACTCATAATACCGCCGTCACTTTGGAGTGTCACTAAGTTTGACTCTGACAGACTGCCAGAGGGACTTTCTGTCTTTCACAAGCTGCCACAGACAGGTGAAGACACTCCACTCGTGTGCCTTTTTGTATGTGCTTGTGGGCCTCTTACTGTATATGCCAAAAAGAGAGGAGCTGTCACCCCTGCAAGCTGATGTGTCCCATCTCCAGGAAAAAAGGAATTCCCTTTGACTGCATCACCTGTTACTCTGAAAAACTGCGTGACATGTCCGTGTAGAGACTCTGTTTGTACCACTGTGACACTTTATATGATGCGGTCTCTTCTAGTCTCTAACCCCTCAGTGAACATCTGCACTCACTCTTTGGCGGTCCAGGAATATCAGCAATATCATCACAAAATTGGCAGTTAAACTTGTAACTAAAGCCAGAAATTAGATCAAATTATTTAGAATTGAATTTTCTCTTGCTTGAAAATGAACTATTAACCACAATAAAAAATGTCCTTGTGATAAAGCTGGAGAAATATCATTACACATGTTTTTTCCCATTCTAGTTTAATGATGAGTATGAACACTGACAACTAAACTTGGGCCACAATATGCAGAATGTGTTCTTTATCCCTTTGTGGCCTTAGTCACTTATGGAGTAATGATCGATTTGATTTAATTGAATTTATTGCCATGATTGGATAAATTATAATAAAACACTGCTTTATCTGGCGGCATCATTAAAAAAAGTCGCTTGATTTGGCTGTTTAAAATGCAGGCAAGGCTGGGCGCTTGTTGGACCTGAGAATCTACATGGATGCAAACTGGGATTAACACCCAAAAGAGGCTGCTTCTTTATACCCTTCTGTGGCCACATATCTCTCTGGTTGTAGCTCCAGTTTCATTATATTTGTCTTTTGCTAGTGATTCAAAGTGGATGCCAATAGGTACCTATTTTTTATTGATACAACTAAATTGATAGTTACTGCTCTATTTCTTCATGCTTTGTGATAAGAAACTGAAAGTCCTTTCGTGCCTGGACTAACCACATATTTGTCACCTTGTTTCCATGGGGACGTTTTGAATATATTGAATATACAAAAATTACTTTCCCATTACGACCACCTGGAGGGGTGGTGGTGATATTCTAGAAATTGCTCATATGCACTTTGCCCTATGGGATGATCAGAAACTGCATCCACCTGCGAAATTATGTTCAACCTATTTACTCACAGGAGACTAAAAACCTTCATGTTGCATTGGCAGTTTGCTGATATAAAGCAGGAAGACCTTCATTTTGTTCATCTGCTGATACATAATATACAAACAAGTAAGAATCAAAGCTTTTTCTGTTGTCCAGATGTCCACTTGCTACACCACATTTTCACCGAAAAATCCGCCTAAAGGCTATGACGTGAGACCGTGGTTGATGAGTCATCGGGTGAGAACCATGAATGTCAGCCGTAATGCAGCAGGTAAATGTTAAGAGACCGACATCAGAGCAAAGGCCGAATCTTCACCGAAGTCAGAGGGTAGAGACCACCACCGTCCTCACAGAATCTCCCATGTGGTCATTCAGCAGCAGAGCGATTTCATTCTCTTCCAAAGGAGTGGACGGCTTTACACCCATGCAGTACAGCTCCAAAGTGTGAACGTTTCCCAACTGGTCAGCTTGTCATCTTATCCCAGCCAGCGAAAAGGCTCCTTAGTCTGATCACAGAGTATGAAATCAGGCTATTAAAAGTCCTATGTCCAAGCTTTGATGAAAACTGTGTAAACTGTCATGAATAATGCAACGAACGCTATCGTTTTACTTGAGATTAGTTTGCCCGGTTGCCATGGCACAAACGCATGCATTATTTACCGGCTGTGAGAGTGTGGCTGTAGGCAGCTTACGGGCTCCCGGTCATTTTTAGATCAGTTCACGCTGGGAGGATTAAACCTGTAGTAATCCATGGGAAACAAAACAGTGTGTCTGAGCTACACGTTTACCCCCGAAACAGAGGGAGGGAGCTGCACTGTGGTCTTGTGGACGATGTGATAGAGCAGAAGGTTTTTGGCATGGAGCTGCCGGCCGGACAGGAGAAGCCGCAGAAGCGGGTGAGGTTCCGCGTGGCCTCTGGGAACAGCGGCCGGGTGCTGAAAGAGATGTTCAAGGACGAGGGGCCCGCAGATTCCCTGGACTCGGACTGCACCAGCAGCTCGGACGCCGAGCGGGCCAGCACCCCTTCCTCCAGCGGAGAGGTGCACGGAAACCTGTTCGGATCCCTGGGCTCCGAGCTGGACGACAGCGAAAGCGAGCCCGACGAGCTGCTCATGTACGCCGGGGCCACCAAGAACTGGACGTTCACCACCAAGAGGGTCAACATCCTCAGCAAAAACGGGACTGTCAGGGGGGTCAAGCACAAAGTCAGCGCAGGTCAGACGCTGTTTGAAAACCTTCCCAATTCCAACAGTGTAAGTACCTCTAACCGAGCTCTGGTTTGTCAGGCTGTTCAGGACAATGTGCCACTCATAGTTACATTACTGCTCGAAAGTCCGCACAACCGCTAACCATCGATGTCAAGCCTGGTTACAGGTAATATCTACATACAGCTGTGTGAGCGTGAGAAAAAAGCTCACAACTAAGGAGTAGGTCACAATACAATTAAAGATTAATGATGCATTTCGTTAAGTGTTTCAGGAGAAACTAATCAGGTTGATGAATTCCCAGTGCTGCTTTCTAGTATCCCTCCACCGACTGCTGTATTTCCTGTGTGCTGACGCAAAAGTGCTGCAGAAGGACAGGCAAAAGATCAAAATAAAAAAGCGGCACTAGCTAAACTCGGCAAACGAAATAAAGCCTCTCAGCAGTTGGGTGAGATTATCTTTTGGGCGGTACAGATTAAATGCTTATCAAGGTGGAGTAGCCTGATCTGAAAAGCTTGATCTGAACTTACGTCGTATGTTTGGTTAATGTCATGCAGGTGGTACGGAACAGGCCGACCTTTAGGAAAGAATTAACTTTCTCAGGGGAAGTCTTAGATTACAAAGAACACGCAGCTTCACCTGATTCACTTCAATGATCACATGAAGAATCGATTAAAACATGTTTAGTTTCATGAAATACATGCTACAAAATTAAACGAATATTCTGCATTGTTGAAAAAGAACATCAGTTCAAAAGAAACAGCGTCTATATTTGGAGAGCTTCCATTTTTGCCTATTTCTCCCTGCATTATGGGTGAGGGTTGGATAGGCACTCTGGAGAAACCGGCTGTGAAAGTCTGCGGAAACTTCCAGAGAAAATTAATCAGAATTGTATTGTCACGCTGAGTTTTCTTAATCTGAAGTTGATCCAGCTATCAAATGCTACCAAACATCTTCTGCTTGCTTGTATGTTTCACAGAATTAAAAGCTGATGCATTTTCTTGTATGAACACCAGTTGTGGTGCTGAAAGCGAGGCAACAGATTCTGATCAATATTACATTACAAGCTGTTGTGCTTCCTCATAGATGGACTTAATTCTGGAGTTTGGCCGGATAGTGATCTACACCACCAGTTTCCGCGTGGTCAGGACGACCTTCGAGCGCTGCGAGCTGGTCAGAAAGATTTTCCAGAATCACAGGATGAAGTTTGTGGAGAAGAACATCGCCCTGGACAGCGAGTACGGGAAGGAGCTGGAGGAGAGGTGCAAGCGTGTCGGGGAACCTCCTTCACTGCCGGTGGTGTTTATTGATGGACACTACCTCGGGGTGAGTCCCATTCCCAACTCTGTAATGATGTAAGCCGTCACGGGCTATCGCGTCCACACTGATCTGACTTTCCTCGTCACACTTGCTCTGCAGGGTGCGGAGAAAATACTTGGCATGAATGAATCAGGAGAGTTGCAAGATCTTCTGACAAAAATTGAGGTTGGTTATCCCCACGAACTCACATCATGAACAATTGACAGTGACCCAAAATATGACTTTCCTGGAAAAGTTATTTTCTGAACCGCTTGTTCCCAAATGGGGTCCCAGGGGGAATGGAGCCTATCCCAATATTTAATGGGAGAGAGGCGGGGTACACTCAGGATGGTTCACCAGTCCATCACAGGGCCACATATTAAGACACACATAGACAACCAACCACACACACAGACTTCTAAGGGCAATTTGGAATGTCCAATCAACCTAACACGCAGTTCTTTGGACAGTGGGGAGGAAGCTGGAGAAAACCCATACAGACCAATACAAACTCCACACAGAAAGGTCCTGGTTCCCCCAGGGACTTGAACTCAGAACCCTCTTGCTGTGGGGTGATGGTGCTGACCACCGTGCAAATCCACAATGATGTTCAATTATTCAGGCGATACTGATAATATTCACTGGACAATGTTCAGAATAATTCAACATATTGCAAACAGGGAATTCTTATTTTTTTGTAATGTTATTCAATAAGTTAAACGTGAACACACTTCAATGTGAGGCCAAAGGCCCCGAGTCACAAAAGCTGAGCTACTCACTTCACTCAATGCTGTGACTGACCTCGTTTCGGATTTCAAGCCCAAAAAAGTAAATAGAAAACAGTTGGACATCAGATACAGTCACCAGAAACCAGTAAATAAACCTGTATCACTTATCTGACGGAAAAAAATTTGTTTTGATTATGTGATTTGAAAGATATATTTTTATCTCTAATCAGTCATTTTACTATCTCTATCTAGTGGTACGACGTCATTAGCAGTCTGTTTAGGTTGAGCTGATTGATTTATGGGGGAAAATGAGTCCATTTTGAGAATGGATAGATAACATTATTTGCAGTTAGTATTTTATGTGACACAATAAACATCTGTTTTGTTTTTTGTTTTTTTCCCAGAGGGTACAGCATCCCCAGACGTGCCAGACCTGCGGGGGCTTTGCCTTCATCCCATGCCCAATGTGCCATGGCAGCAAGATGTCTGTGTTTCGCAACCTCTTCACAGATTCCTTCAAAGCCCTCAAGTGTACTTCCTGCAACGAGAACGGCCTGCAGCCCTGTGTGAGATGCAGTCAGTGAGGATGTTAAGTGCCTGGACCAACATCCCTCCTTTCTCCCTCACGCACGGGAACCGGGCCTGGACTGCAAAAAACGGGCAGTGAGCAGCAGCATAGTAGGATTCCTCCTCCATGGCCATTGTAGTAAAGACACTGGAAATTTCAAATAAAAATTTTGCGAAATTGTTGATATGGGTTGCTTTGAATTTTAAAGCTGTTTGTGACATGATATTGACACAAATACTTTTCTGTTTTCTCACTGAATAATCTGTGGTTGAGTATGTAAAAAAAAAAAAAAAAGACCTATGTGAGGTCATGGTCCAGTCTGCGTCCGGTACATCTAAACTGGTTACTGAGGAGGCTGTTAAGGTCATTAAGGATTCTCTCGTCACTAATCCCATATCAGACAGTAAGGGAACAGACACTCAGGACAAACAGTGAAAGTCAAGGGCTCGGTTTTCAGACATCAGAGGGAAAGTCACAGAAACTTCACTCACAGCCGAGCATTAAACACCTTTTACGCTAAAATCCTGACATTTACTGAGCAAACGGCACATCCGCTGTTACATAACAGCATCAGCAGAGCTCCAGACCAATTCTTAAGCATGACAACATGCAGCTGAGCTCTAAATGGACTATTTTTAAAAGAAAAGAGAGGCACTTCAGCAGATAATTTGAACTCCACACGCCACATTGCTTCCTGATGGACTTCAATGTATTCAGGTACAGAATGTGAAGCACCAAGGAGCTTTGAAGGATGAAAGCAAGCAAAAATTAGGCTTTTTTTGTTTATCAGTCATTTATTTGTCAGTCAACAGAACACAGGGTTTAGTTTTATTCAAACAACAAATCCTTTGATATCTCAACACTAGACTAGAATGAACTAAAGTCAACTAATGGAGAGTTTATGTTCTTCTTTTTGAAAAGAAAATGTATGGAATTTTAGGGAGTAGAATGATGTGTTTGGAAACAAGCTTGTGCACAATTATTCAATGTCACGTTCACTTGAACTTCTCCTGGAGATCCAAAACACCTTGCTTTCTGAGCGTGGAAATTGGAGATACATGCAAACCCTGCCGTTTGGTGTCTTTCACGGATGATGTCATCAGTTGGCGGTGGTCCACGGGTCAGCAGGGAGACGCAGCGCCCGCGCCGCACAGCTCTCTGTGCCCTCATAGCCCTGTACAATGCTGCTTGAACATGATTAGACAAGGCAGCACTGTAAAGAGGCTAAAAGCACAGAGCAGGGGGGTGCTCCAGTGGACGCTCCTTTTCCTGCCATCTCCCACAGCACCTGGATTCTTCTAGATGCTGCTGCACCTGAAAAAAAAAGCAGCCCAGTCCATCATTTTTGATGAAAAAAATAAGCAAACACACACACACACAAGCATGTAAAAAAAGAAAGAAAAATAAAAAAGGGGGTGCGTTTCATTTAAAAAAAAAAAATCTGGTCTGCGCTGGGTGCTAATGGGGTTCAGGCTTTTCTAACAACAGGCTTGAGGTGATGGAGGGAGGGTTCATGAAAATCTGAAGCCCCAGCAGAGCAGGATTAGTGCGCCCCCATCTGTGGGCTGATGTATGCCCAAAAACCTCCAAACGGGAGTGAACCCCTTTTCAGATGCCTCGACAATAACACACAAGCAGCCGCGTTTTTCTTGGAAAACAGCTAATAAATGGCATAATAACGGACTCCAAAAGAGGTGTGATGTGCGGAGGAGGAGGAGGAGGAGGAGGAGGGGGGGGGCTGCTGGAGGACTGGAGATGTGGGACCTCCAGGCGCACCTCGACGCTGGTCTCCCTCATAAAGATGATCCCCATGAAGCCCATGATTTGGGTGTTTTATTGACCAACGTGCACAAATGAGCCCGTTTTTCCCTTCGAGGAGGAAGGGGAGACAGGACGGGAAACGGGATGGGCAGCAGCACAACTGACTGTGGGGAATGGTATGACGAGACATGACACTGATATGCGCGCAACAACCCCGAAACGGTAACACAACATTCAACGGTGAAAAAAACCTGCAATGGAGCTCGTCCGCACCGCTTTCCGCTCTCCGGGCTCGGCGACAATAAAAAAAAACAAAAAAAAAACAGGATTTGAGTGGAGTGGTGGAGCGTAATCCAGCCGCGGTGCCGTGCGTAATGTTTTGAACGGTCGGTCAATGCGCAGACTGGTTGGAAATGACTGTTTTTATTGACGTCAGCGTGCAGGCTAGTGCCCCCCCCCCACTCTCTCATCCCCACAACTGCACCATCTAACGGACACGGGTTCACATTCAAGGCAACCATCTGAGGTTTAAACAGGAAAACTGCCGATCAATTAATAGCAAAAAAAAAAAAAAAAACGAGGTATGGGAATGGATCTTTCCCCCTGACGAATTATTGGACCAATAACAGCAAGAGCCCCCCCCCTCCCCTTCAACCCCATGACATCTTGAGAATTTGACATGGAAAGACATGCAGTCACATGAGGGAAAAACATCAGTCACGAGAGAAAAAGGGAAGCGACATAATTTAATAAATTATTTTCAATTTATTCCAAGTCCTTCGGCAGTGCGAACATAAGTAAAACATTTCACTATTAACACCTTCAAAAAAAACAAAAACAGATCCACCTCCCAGCAGAGCTCCAGGGCTCTGGCCCCCCTCCTGAAGCGGGAGAGCAGCGGCCGCAGACCCAGAAGCAAAAAGCACAATGACTGCATTTTGATACAGATTATTCAGCAGAAAACACCAACTTTGGTGGCCGGTCACGTAATATTTTAACCACACACTGCAGAGGGTGACGTCCAGCAATATGAAAACACTTTAGCTTTTATTACAGGCAGCAGAAGATGAGGGAGAGGCCTTTCCCTTCGCCCGGGGATTCATCTTTGGGGGCAAAAAAAAACAAAAACAGCCACCTGTTGAGCTTCTGGAAACCCCAAAAACCTCTTCAACCTCAAATCTGAACAGCAACGTTTACAGCAGGCTGAGAAACCTGACGGGGGATGACTATAATGTCCTTTGTTGGCTTTGGAGGGTGTTCAATCTGCTCAATAAACCTTCAGCAAAGATTAGCAAGTTCAACAAACGGGTACAGTTTCTTTTGTTTTCATTTCATAACACATGATGAATGAATGTGACGATCTTCATACATTCGTTTTTCTACACAAACTTGTGCTTCTTAAAGGCTACTGTTACCCTCAAATCAGTTCAACTCCAGAAAACAAATACAGATCGGCGTGTTTTGTCTAGTCGATATAAAATTTACACTTCACCGTTTTCATCAGAAAACCTGCAGCCATCGACTATAAGCTTTGACGTTAAAAGAAAACAAGCTAGTATTGTCTACGCTTTAAATAAGTCTTATTTAAATATGTAGCTGTTAGAGTTCCTTTGAACTATAGAAGGAGAGACGATCACTGTGGTTCAGACAGCACATTAAAGTCTAGTGGATGCTTCTGGTCCTGTCCAGGGTTTTGCTTTTGAAACAGATGTGACCTCATCCAAATCCAGCCACCTTTATGGAGGAATGTGAGCTCAAGCAAACAACCGGGAAACGGCACGGAGGCAGCGGGGCGGCGCTTTCTGATGACGGCCCTGAGTCCTTTGCCAGAAACAAACACACCTGGGTGTGAAGGGGGAACTCACGGCGCGCAGATGCTCACTGCTCTGAAGCTTCACAACTACTCTACAGTAAGACTTGATGGGGCTTTGTTTGTGGTGGTCGGGGAGGGGGGGGCGTATGGTGGGGGCGGGCTCATTCATCCCTTCAGCTTTGGTTCTTCCACACGTAGTTGCGGGATGTTTCCTCAGCAGAGCCTCGGCGGCTTTATAGTATCTCCAAGTCGACGTGGCGCACCTCTGGGTTACGTTGCTATGGAGACAAGCCGAGTTACATTCAAATATCATGAAGACATTTCATTCAAATAAAAAGAAAAAAAATACAAGTAACATGCAACATACATGTGCATTTGTGACACTTTATTGATTAAAATAACCCTTTAATGTCAATTTCATCTAAATGAGGATAGTAATTTTATGATTAACAGCGAGTTCACAGCAGAAAATCACACCACTAACAGCAAGGCAATATTCCAAAATAGTTCCTTATGTCCTGACATTCTTACAGTGGGACCCTTGAGGTGTAAACACACTGTAGCATCGTCCTTTACTTTATGAATAAATCAATCAAACTGCCACATGTTTACATTTGTTTCTTCTTGAACTACTTTCTTTGGCATTTCTGTGATTTTGTTCAGTACCTTCAGCTCCTTCTCCAAGCGGTCCACCTCCGCCCCCAGCGTGTCGATGATGTTCTCCCCGTGTTTGAGCATGAAGCTCTCCAGCTCCTCTGGCGTTTTCACCTGCTGAATCTCCTGCAGAGGCACAAAGCGAGAGGAATGATGAGTCTCTTTATGCCAGCTGTTGGGCCTTAGCTGGTGAGATTTTTCAGAAGCATTAAAGCAACTCCGGAGATTGTTGGACTTTTTCTTGCTCTTTGGCTCCCTCTAGATTTCAGGGTGTTAACACTACTCATAAAAAGCAAGAAATATAACAAATATACACAAGCTTACGTTCAGGATTTGGTCAATGTCTTGTTTCTCCAGATAAGACCGTGTCACCACTCGGCCATCAAAGTCAACTTCGGCCTTGAAACGAACTTTACTCAGTCCAATATCAGTGGCCTTCACGTCATGGATGGCCCTGATCACAACAAGAACAAACTGCATCAGCAGAAGAAGGAGAAGAACTTTTGCTGCACAGTGTTCATTCTGCAGCCTTTCAGATTGAATGTACACACAAAAACAGAGGAAAACACGGCTTTTTCTCGCAACAAGCTAAATCAGTGCAACTACAAAAGCAGAGTTGCTGTCAATTAAACTGACTAAAGTTACTAACTAAAGTTAGTACGGCTGGTGCTGACAGGCATCAAACTGGATTACTTTGCACTACTGTGAACAGGTGGCGGATCTCAGCCTGAATGCGGTTAAATAACACAATCAGAGCAGTAAACCCACTGAGTGCCCGCTCTGACAGGCTCGTGCAGGCGGTTCACGGCCTGGAGGGCAGGATCACCAGCCCGTCTGTGCATTTGCTGACCTTACAGCGGGGTCGTTCTCCAGGAACTCTGTAAGCTTCTGCACACGATCTGGCTGTATGGAGCGTCCAATCAGAGCCTCTGTGTTGGTGTAGATGAGGAAGGCGGAGACGGTGCCCAGCAGCGTGCCCACGCCCAGCGAGCCCAGGCTGTCGTAGTACGGGTTACCTGAGAGCGGAGGCAAACCCACATTAGACACCAAAGAGTCACAGAACAGAGGAGCGGAAGATAACACGGCAGGTAATCCCCCACAACAACACGTCTGTGATAGGTGACTGAACAGTAAGCCATCTTGGCTCACCTGTGAGCGAGGTGAGCCCCATGCAGCTGGCGGCCATGATGACCCCCAATACAGCGGCAGCATCCTCCAGTAGCACCACATTCGTACTGGGGTCTCGACTCTGCATTACTGCACAGGCAGGAAATCCACAATCAGACCTGATTATTTATAAAAAAACAAACACCTACAAAACCTGTCCTGAAGTTAAAAAGCAGAGAGATGAGATGGTCGCCAACTGTTACGTCGCCTCCATAGATCAGTAACTGTTACCCATAGAGATTACTGAATATATGTGGTATACCAAAATCTAGGAACATTCTGGCTTTGATTATAGATGTAGGTGCCTTTAATGTCTTTAGTGTCATGTATTTGCTTGGAGCAAAACTTGTAAACTTTCTAAAAAAACAAACAAATGTAACATGTGCAAATTTATAAAAGATGAGGTGTAAGCATTCTAATGTATACAAACCATATTCATAAAAAGACACCCCCTGCTGACGGGCGCTCTTCTTTATCTCATTAATGGCAACAAGTAATGTGGCTGAAAAACAGACAAAACAGACACGCGTTAAAGCGCCAAAGTCTAAATCTCCATCTAAACGTCAGAGGTTTATCGTCCGAACTTACCTCCTTCAGACACCAGAGAGCCGGCAAGAATACAGTAAGCCTGTAACGTAAAAAAAAAAAAAAAACACAACCTAAGCATTTTTCATCCTCTGAAAATGTCTCAATGACACTACCATTGGCACTAATACTCACCCACAACAAAGATTCAATGGGCTCTGGGTGTAGTAATCCCATGATGCCGTGGTACCATGAAAGGCCAGCACCCATCATGAAAATGCCCACTCCACTGATAAGGGAGGCAATGTAGCGCATGTTGGAGAAGCCATACCTGTAGGCAAACACTATTTAGTTAATTATACACGGATGCTCCTTCCGAACAATGAGAAACATTCTAAATCAAATGAGAAAAGATGCATGGATTCATTAGAAAAAAATAATATCCCTTTGAATGTTTCTTGGCAACCCACATCCTGATAAACGTTTTACCAGAGAGGAGCTGAAAACTTCACATCAGTGAATCATTGACTTCAAAATGACTACTTTGGACACATTGCTCCTCCTCTTGGCTGATTCAGTGACTCGGTGCCCATTGAGTCCACTACTTGTGGTGTTCTTTTGCACAGGGAGGCGAGGCGCTTACGGGTGCCCGGCGTCAGGGTTTCGGACCGACTGGCTGATTCCTAGCGCGAGCAGACCCTGGTTGCAGGTGTCGGCCAGCGAGTGGATGGCTTCTGAGAACATGCTCGCTGACCCAGTGTAGACCCACGCCAGGAGCTTGAAGAAAAAATTCAAGCCGTTGCTGATGACAAAGAAAATCGGTTAATGGAGCAACTGCACCCAGTAAAAGTAAGTTCATTTTAAAGAAAAATCTTCTTTTTTAAACCAAAAAAACTGACTCATAAAGTTGTGCTTTCTAATTGGCTAAAACATGAGCCAATGAACGACATAAAACCAATCCACTGATCTGCTTATAGGCTGAAATATGTCAGGATTCTTTTCCTTCTGTTCACACTGGCCCTGACCTTTGATGAATGAGTGCTTAAATTGTGTCTCGTGAGTTTTTGTGTGTAATCGTGTGACTGCACATGTCCTCTAATACCATCACACTAATCTAATAGGCAATGTGAGCTCATGTGACACAAACTGCCATCCCATGCCCAGGTTTTCAGCTCTTAAAAACCTGCATTTTAACTTTTGAAAACAATGCATTTATTGTGGTTGAGTTTTTTTTTAAATATCTTATCATTCAAACTGTTTTTAAAAAAGCGTTTTAATAATACATATAAAAATCCTACTTATCTATGTTTTTAGAGTCTGAGATCGATTAAAGCTCATTGGGCAGAAATTATTACCTTTTCTTAGAACAGACCTTACATTTTGTTGAGTTGAGGATGGACATGTTCAGGTGCAAAGCCAGACTTGCAAAATGTGTGCAAATATGTTGGTTTAAATCTGTCAAAAAGGAGCTTCTCAGAAATTGTCCTTGTGATGTGTTCCATCATTTTGTGAGAACAGTAAGCGCTTATCAACCCAGCTGCACGTCAATAAAGCTGTTCACTGATTTCTGTTTCTGACCAATATGCGCCGGACATTGTGATCAAAATCCACCTGACTTTATAACCACCACATCATCAAATGGTCACCACAGTAAAAATTTAAATCTAACATCATTCAAATCTTAGGATTTTATATGACCTATAACTGGGATTGTGAATTCTAATGAGTCAATGTCCAGTTAAATTATCTATGTCCTTACTGAGAGAGAAAATGATTTCTAATGTCTAAAAATGGGAAACAATGTTCCCCCAATTGAGGGTTGTCCTCAACGGATTTTCGTTCCAAATCAAATTGTGTAAATTGTGTGCAGTCACCCAGCTGTGAGAAGACGCTTAGTTCCTCGCTTTAATCACTAGTACCTCCCACTGTACCGACAGCTCAGTAAAATCCCAGAGTACCCACTCGCTACACAGACAGATAACAGCATTCATAATCAACTGGAGACATCAGGAAAACTTACATGCATATAGCTACCATCACCACTTTCCCTGGGCCTTGGGAAAAGGTTGCCCTCTTGCCTGATCGTGGCTTTAAGAAAAAGAAACAAGACATGAGCAGTTTGTAAAGGGCTAGAATCAGCAGATAAAGAGATTGTCTGTCAGTCAGCTCAGTGACTGCAGCTCGGAGACAGGTTGCTGATTTGTGATATTTGCTATATGTCTTTGCCTTGTGTTAGGTACAAAAAAAAACTACAATTGATGTACTCTCACATGGCTGGTGGGTCTGTCAACAGAAGCCCGTACAGTATAGAAAATGCTATGACATACTGGACAGGTGTGGCATCGTACAGTAGAGAGGGAAAAGCGTGACTGTCATTGTCACATTGATACAGTGACCCCAGTAATGGGGACAAAGGCCACAGACAAACAACCTGGTATTATCAAGGCAACTTGGACACGGTGACAGCAAGGTCTTCCCCTTTCACCTTTTAAATATTGAGTAGACTGGTCACTGTAATCAGAAAAAAGCACAGCTCACCTTAGTGTTTCCCCAAAAGTCTTTGTATTCCTTCAACAGCTGCTGGTTTCTAAAAATATCTGTGAGTCAGCAGACAGAACACGTAAATCAAGACATTTCTGACAAAGGAGTAAAACAAACAAGCAAAAACTTGGAAAGTTTCATATCTAGCAGCTATTGTCAAATGTTCTACCTGCACATGTTCTTAAAAACAGCTAATCTCTAATACACTTTATTGGATCAACTTTCCCTTAAATAAAGGAAAAGTGCATTTCCAAAAAGCCTGCCATGTTGGTCTGACTTCAGAAAAAAAATCAGAAAAAGAAACACAAAAACCTACTCTCTTGGTACTCTCTTTCCACCTCTTTTCTGAGATTTCTCTCTCGGGCCAGAGCTTCATGGCTTCCCCACACATCAAGTGCTCTGTTGGAAATGAAGAGAAATGGCTCAATAACTAAACATAAAAAAAAAGTCACAAACTGGCTGAAGACATTTCATGCCACGGTCTGCGAATTTCGAGGTGTAAAGCAGAAAGTTTGAACACTAACTTTGCCTCCACATCTGACCGCAAGAACACAGTGAAAGCCTCTGTGTCATCGTGAGGGCTCCGCCTCCTGATCTTCCTGAGCTGCTCCAAATCACTGTGAAGAGCAGAGGGGTCGAGGTGGGATGGGATTTCGGATTTAAACTTGAGTTTAGTGGCAGTGTCTCATATTAGCTAATCAGAACAGCATGCTCACTTATTAACAGAGGAATTTATGCAGCGATTGTAGTCTCAGCTTTAACCACAGTGACAAAGCCATTAAACAGAAGCTTTCGGTCTGCTTCAGCACTAGTGTTTTTAAACCACAAATGTTTATGTTGTATAAATAAAAAAATAAAAAATAAACCAAGCAAGAGGGGTTACCTTGGTTTGAGGCAGAACTCATTCATAGCTCTAACAGCAGTGATGAAGTTGTTCTGGGTGTATTTGGGCCCGTAGTCCCTTTTCTTAAGGACTGCTCTGACTATGTGTGACATTGGTTTAAAAAAAAAAAAAAGACCCATTATTAAGATACGGAAAATATTACCTCTGTGTATCATGTATAAGCATTGCTCTTTACCTTTCACATGAATAGTCTCCGCTTTTGTCAGGCCCTGAGGTGCGGTACCTGTGGGAGATGCAAAGATGCTACTTGGAGCATGATTCTACTAGAGGACCTATTTTTAAACATTCAACTTTTCAGATGGTATTCTTGGTGCTTATTTTCACAGGCAGTGTTCAACAGCTGCTGCCTGGAAAGATTTTAGCCTACCTGGTGAATCTGGAGTGATCTTTGCAGCACCCGACAAAACCTTCTCTGCTGAGGGAGCAGCCGATCCTGATTTTGGAGGACCATCTTTACTGTTGTCAGAGGTTGAATAGTACTGGACCTTGCTCAGTCCCAAAGAGGCCACACGACAGTCTGGCAGGCTGAACCATAAGCTGTGTATGCCTCCACTTTGCCAACCTATAAAAACAAAATGAATAAAAAACACTAACTTGTATCCCCGTTCAAATCAGGCTGAACTGTTCTAACACCAGATATGACAGCTGAGTACAGACTGGGACGCAAAGTGGCCTGCTCACCGTAGCACAGCTGGGGGAACCGCGGGGACCGCTGGGTCACGAACGACCGGTGCTGCATGGACACCCTGCACAAGACATGCCATGGTCTGTGGGCCAGGCAGGGGAACATCCTCGCTGTGGCGGGGCCGATGCTGAAGTGCAGGAACGTACTAAGTGGAGTCACAAATACCCCGGTTGTTGTGTTAGCAGTTTGCTTGTTAACTTAACCCTCTCCAGACAGATTAACGCCAAGAAATATCCTCTCTAGTTCAGGCAATGTTATCGCCGAGCAACTATTTCACGATTACAAACAAAGTTGCCTTTAACAAACATGATATTGGAGTCAGACTAAAACATTTTCCACTTGACGAGTCAATTCTTGCTTTCACCGGCTGGCTAACGCCAATTCTGCTCCAGCTCTACTCAACCCATTGGCTAAACATTTAGCTAACCCAGCTAGCTAGCACGGTGAGCTACATTCGTTAGCCTCGATAAGAAACAAGTTTTCTATAACATTTAAATCTTCAAAAAAGCAGCTGCAAGTACGTAGTACGTTGATTTATACTCAGTTATTCTTATTGAATTAAATACCTTTCTATGGTGAGGTTTGCTCCGCATAATATGTGTCCATTTTGCGAATCTATGGTCAAACTGCTGGTAACTCCACCACGGACGTAAACGGTAAGGGCTACAAACACAGACACACGTGACCAGTGACATTAAAGTGATGAGAGCGTATTCTCGCGTGAATGCGTGTGATTTTAGGCAGTATGTCAGTATTTATCGCGATATTCGTGTGCAAACAAGGTCAAACTATCCTAATCATCCTGTTGGCATGTAACTACCTTATTCTTCAAATTTTCATGAGAATTTTTTCACTTTTTTTTTTTTTATAATGGTGCACAAAAGGTATCCAAACACATACACAACTAATTCGTTAAGAGTTGTTTTACATGCAACACTTGACAGAAGGATTTGAGCAGGAATGTGCCTCAGTCACTGCCCAACCCAATTATTTTCAAAGGTTTTCAATACACAGGGAAGGGCTCCTTATGAATGTCACAACAAAGGTAGGTTGTAATGACTAAAGAGGAGAAAATAATCCCAACAAGTATGAAAAAACAAATTTGAACTTTATTGGATCTTTGGAACAGTACAGTAGATATTTGTTAGACCTCGCACTGAATAGGCGACTTAAAGAGCAGCAGTGTTGGATAGATTAATTTGACAAATGGCTGACAAGTCAAACACATACACTAGGAGAGAGGTCCTTGGACTTCCCATGCAATCTCTTGACTAATACCTGCAAGTTCATCACTTCCATTTCACAATCATTAAATTAGAATTCAGTCTTCAATAAGTATTCAAGACCCACAGTACACTTTAATAGGGTCATAACTCAGAGTTGGTCCATTTAACTAAAAATTAAAAAAGTTCAACACTGTATACAAGTAAGGTCACTTAAGTGAGGAAATGGAAATATGCAAGTCATTTCAGAGGGCAAGTTGTCAAGCTGATGTGAGAGCAGTTTGGAGGTGAGGCTCTGTCCTGGTGTGTTTGCCTGGGTTGCTGGTCTTATAGGGAGTGGGGAACTTGTGGGGATTATGTTTGCATTAACGCATTGTAACAAACTCCTCAGAAGAGGTGGGGTGAATAGCAACAGTCTTGTCAAAGTCTGCTTTGGTAGCGCCCATCTTGATGGCCACAGCGAAGCCCTGCAGCATCTCGTCACAGCCGAGGCCCTGCATGTGCAGGCCCACCACCTGGGGGACCGACATGGTCAGGAGTTTAGAGAGAAAATAGCTGCAGAACACTGCTCACTGGAGAAGTAAAACATTAACACACCAGTAATTTCTTGAAAAAGAATACAAGTTCTACCTTCTCCTCTTTGCCCACACACACCAGCTTCATGATGCACTGACTCTTCCTGCTTGTGATGGCGTGATACATTGGAGTAAAAGACGTCTTGTAGATCTTAACGTTCTCTTTTCCGTTAGATTTAATGGCCTCCTCTGGCATGTACAGGGAAGGAAAGTAAGAACATGATTGTGGTAAAAAAATAATAAAAAACCCTGATAGACCTTTTTCTTCTAAGTGTGTACCCACCATCTGTGAGGCCCACGGTACCAATGGGTGGGTGGCTGAACACCACTGTGGGGATGGTGGAATAGTCCAACTTGGAGTCCTTTTTTCCCTCAAAGAGCCTGTGTGCCAACTTTCTGCCTGCAGCAATGGCAACTGCCCCAAAAAGCAACAAATCAGTGAGGGCCGAATAACAATAAATGTTCCTCCAGAAGATTACAAAAGACACAAACCAGTGGCAATGCTACAGTATTCTGCACACATGTCTGGATATTTATCCATTTGTAGGCCAAAGGGACAAAAAAAAAGAGCCAAGTTGTACTGCTTCAAAATTCAACTGTTTAACTTTTTTTACTTTAACAGAATGCAAATAAATACCTTTTATGTTTAAATTGAGTGATCCTCATTTTATACATTAGACACACTCTACAAAATTGTTCCTTCTGAACATAATAATTCAACCTCCAACTTATCAATATTAAAAACCTTTTTCAGTATGAAAACAACTGCAGAGATTTACTGGAGGAATATTGAACCATTCAGAAATATTTGGTCTTGAGAAGTTCAGGCTTAAAACCATCATACTTTATAATTTCTGAGAGGTGTTGTGTACTTCATACCGGGAGTGAGAAGAGCTTTGCCGCAAACATCTCCAACCGCATAGATGCCGGGTCGAGTAGTGTTCTGAAATTCATCCACAATGATATGGCCTCTTTCATCTGTATCCACACCCTGACAAAAAGAGGGACAAACCATCATATAGTTGGCTGAATCAGTATGAAACAACATTAATCAGTTATGTGAAGCAAACAGGCCACACTGCCAGAGAAGCCTGCCATGTTGAAAATTAGGATAAAAAAAAACAAAGAAATTCTATCTGCAATAACAATCACTTATCAAACCAAACAGATATCATTTATGATGCTGCTGCCTGGTCTTACTTCCACATCACTGTTAACAACATCATCCTGTTACTAATGTTTTACCATGCCTCCGATGTTCAGTCCAGCTGTATTGGGCCGCCGGCCGATGGCCCAGAGAAGACAGTCCACTTCTTTGATGGTGCTGATCTTCTCCTCATCATCCTTCTTCTCCGGGTCTTTGGTGACGAGCGTCACCTCCAGGCCTTGGCCCGTTTTGCTCACAGACTTCACCTGAGTGTTCTTCCACAAATCAATGCCATTGTTTTGAAGTTCTTTGGTGCAGTTGGCGCTTATGAACGCATCAAAGTTCCTCAATACCTGCAGAGGGAACGTGAGAGCATACATGAGAGGCTGGGCGGCATACAGTAGAAACAATCGTGTGATGGGAATGTATGTTTTTCTTACTCCCGTCTGACGAATAATGAGGGATGTTTTGGAGCCCAGGGTGGAAAGAATGCCTGCCATTTCCACTGCGATATAACCAGCTCCAACAATCACACTGCGCCTGTCAGAAAGGCAAAACGTTTAATTCCAGATCCAAATGTTCTCGGTGGTAAATGGATTTTTTTTTTTAACTTACTTTGGGAGGGTTTCAATTTCAAAGAAGCCATCACTTGTGATGCCCAGATTTGCCCCTAAGATTTTTTAATGGAGAAAAAGTTAAAATTATTCAGAAATACATTAAATTAAAACAACCTACTCGTATTGAGCTGTAATGAACCTTTTACCTGGAACTTCATCGTCACTTATAACAGAAGGCTGCCCTCCAGTGGCTATGAGGATGTGAGGCGCCGTGTACTTTCTTCCATTAACCTCCACTGTGGGTTCAGGATCGTCTGTAAACCTGGCATAGCCTTGAATGCTGTGGATTTTGGCCTGAAAAGGAGCAGATGTAAATGCGTTTTATTATTATCGCAATTATTTTCATCCAAGCACAAAAACTCATTCAACTACTTCTATCTTGTGACACACCCAGACGAATCGTTATTTGAACACACCTTGTCAAGATTGTTGCGATAGATCTGATTCAGGCGTGACACATACGCGTCTCTTTTGGCCTTAAGAGTTCTGCAAGCAAACAAAGTGTTATCAAAGCAACAACTGGCTCAAACAGCAACATTTGTAAATTTCCTTTAGATGCTAGAACTTAAATGTACACTAACAATTAGTATACCACCATGACATCTTTCTTTTATATTTGAAACATGGTTGGGAAAAAAGAAATTATGTTTTTTATGGAATATGGAATCACAATGGGACTATATTCCCACTGCTGCGTCTTATAAGGACTGGACCAGGGACACAAAATACTAAGAGAAAACTAAAGCCAGCAACAGCAAACTTATCTGCTATAAAAAAAAAAGAAAAATAGTTGGAAATCGCAAGATTCATATGGGGGTAACTTATTCAATAAGATCTTCCTGTGAGTAACAGCTTTTGTTCGCATTAAATGGAAAAGGAAACACAATGGCCCACATGTTCACACCTTTAAAAGCTGCCCAGTTTAGGTTTTGTGCCTCTGATCACTGTTTAGAAATGTTGCACTTAAAAAACTTCCTCCAGAGGCTAATCTTTCAACTGTCATCAGGACTCAGAAGCATAACAGGCAAAGATAAGGAAGTGCGCAAAAGTTAAGAAACAAGAGAGCACAAGACAGAGAAGCTGTGTAATGAACACCACCTTGTTCCAGGAACAACCCCATCAGCTTTCAAAAGAGCTCATTGTTGTTGAATAAAACAGTAAAAGGCAAAAAAAGAGAAACGCCAGTAGACGGTCACCTACTCCCAACTGAAACGAACATTTCCAGTTTCAAAGCCATAGTCGCTGTGGTCATGTAGGTACTCAGCATGAACCGCTGCATTCCACATAACCTGAGAACAGAGAGGAACTCTCACTTCCTTATACAGTTTTAAATTAATTCACTATTGAACAGGAAAACTGTACCTTCTTAGGGACGCAGCCAACATTGACCTGAAAAGAAAATTAGAAGGAGAGAATATTAGAAATCTTGATGAAGCAACATGTAAACAAAATTGAACTGTTAATAAATGTAGGTCAATAAACTGCTTCATGAGACAGACATGTGGTGCTCTGACAATTATAATAAGAAAAAAAATAAGAAACAATTAGCTCGGTTGATTTTTAAGATTAATAGCAGGAAATCTCTCGGCTGGAAGTCAATTTCCTCATTTCTGACTAACCCCTGAGAATTCATCTTGCTATATGCCTTGCTGTTGTGCAATCATAAGGGTTTTCGATTAAATCTGAAACTATTTCCCCCCTAAGCTTAAATCAAACAAACCAACAATGTAATGAGTGGAGACATAGTAACTGTATATTTATATAACTCATTACAACCAATTGCTCAGTGGCAAACATTTAAAAAGAAACATGAAGACTTGCAACACTGGTCCATCAACTATTTTCAAAGCCTCCCACTGTTTAAAGACACTCTTTAAACAGAGAGTTACCAGTTTGTCTAACGGCCTCCTAAGCTGTGGCTCGTGACAGTGTAGTTAGCCGGACTGCAGCTTCAAAGTGGACACGCCATGTTAGTGACAATTAAATGACGACAAAAGGAGCCCGGATGCTTCCAAGTGAACCTGGCAAACCGGCGTGAGCGTGAAAGCCGCAGACCAATGGGTAGACGAAGTTTGGATTTTTTACTCACGCAGGTACCTCCGAGTTTGTGGCTCTCGATGACGGCGGTGGATGCCCCGAGCTCTGCCGCCCGCCGAGCCCCGGCCAGACCCCCGGACCCGCCGCCGACCACCAGAAAGTCGAAACGGGTCGTCTCCGGGTCTGAGGCCATGCTGCGGCGGATAACTTTGTGTCTGAGAAGTGACGAGAAGAGCTTCAGTCTGAGCGAAAAGCAACCGACTACTCCCGTCCTTGGCAGCTGGATTAATAGAGCCATAACCAGGAAGTTTACAACCGGGGGTGGTTGACAAATGAGGGAATGGGAGGGTCAAGCCAGAAAGCCGCTGCTGTGTCATTGTGAGTTGCAACAATGGTGTGTAAATCCCAGAAACAGTTTTCACAATTGTCACGATGATCCTAACATAATCCACTGTATGGGGGGGCTACGAAAACAGGACTACATCGGAAAACATTTTTAACAAGAATTTGAATAAATGTACGTTTGACTTTAAGGCAATTAAGCTCGGACGACTCAAGATCAAAACACAAATAACATGCAATCAGGAATACAAACTGAGAGGGAGAATTTATCCGTGAGGGACATTAATCAATGTGACACTCACCTTGGTAAATCCAGGGACACTTTAGGAAGCAGTCTGTAGATTCTTTTGAGCAGCATGTTGTTGTTGTTTTTTTTTTATGGCACTTCCATAAGACGTGTCCACCTCGTGTTCTTGTTTATGTGGGTCACTGTCTCTGTGTGAGGGGTTTGATTTTATGGCTTCAAATACAAAAGCATTGAACCACTTCCTGTGTCGTTAGCTGTGAGCTCACCGTAAGGCCAATGTTTTTAAAACCGCTTCCTCAAAAAACAAAACAAAAAAACGACAATATGTCCATAAGGTAGCAATAAGTGTCCGAGTATGAGTTCAACACTTTGATAGTGGACGTTGTCACGTTTGAGGGCGTGGAAACTCAGATGTCTAAACCTTTACGTGTTTTTTTTTTTTTTAAGGTTTTAACGTAAATAATACCTGTGACAGCGGAAGGTTTGCGCAGTATTTCTCCAAGAATAGCATGAAGGGTGCACGACGTTCCCCCCGCTGTCAAGACAAACACAGTCTTCACAAGCATTTCCGCTTTGAGCTCTCAAAAGTAAGATTAGGTCAGGCAAGGACTACTAAGGACTACTTCAAAATCTATTCTGATATGGAAATTCAAACACAGCCACAATATGTATGTCTTCTGAGGACATTAGAATAATTGCATTCCGTGACTTATTACCTTATTATTAAATATGATGTAGTACAAATGCATTTCTGTTTGTATCCATATTGTTGTGACTATTTTATGTCTGAATATATCTTGGATCTGGATGTTTATTTTATTGGACTTAATGTTTGAGTTTGTTTCAGTAAAATTTACTTCATATACATTCTGTCCATTTTATTGTAGTTATAGCTGTTTCTCTGATAAAAGGTAAAGTAAAAGATTGTGTTGCCAATTATTTTTTTCACCAACAATTGTATGACATCACAACTAGTGCAGTCTTTATTGTCATTATCTGTGGTAATTCAAACATAAAAATGATTAGTGCAGGAACTGATAACTAAATCCAAAGTAATAAACTTTCCGATCAGCGTCCATTTTTTCTGATTTATACAACATAGTCAAGTAGCATTCACATACATGTAGAAAGTTCAAACGGGAATTTTTCTTATTAATCATTTAAATGCTACAAGTTAGCCAAAATGACCAAGTTTTAATACATTAAACAAATTAATTTCGGTTGAGTTGGTTTACGTTTTATTATGTACTATTATTTTGACAAGTACTTTATTCACTTCCGTAATAATAGACGCATCCTAGCGACAGACGGCTAACGTTAAGCTAACTCAAAGCCGTACGGATAGCTGCGTTGACCAGCGTTAACATCACCACCGAATAAGGTATTTCCATTGTATTTACGTATTTATAAATTATGTGTCGGACCTTAACATTGTTACATTATATTCAAATCAGATATACGTTATAAATTTGACTTGTATGGAAACATAAACATGGAGAAACGTACCGTCGTTCCCGAGACCCTTCGGTGGGGCCTTTCCCTTACGCTCAGAAGAGGCCATTCCAGGAGGGCAGGATGCAAATGTGAATGATTGAATTCAGCTTGATTTGGTAGTTGGATCTCTTAGTGAAGTATAATCCGCTATTTTAAGATAATCAAGTCGTGCAGTCGTTTTTTAAAAGAAATGCATGAACTGTGTGTGAGGGGGAGGGGCTTTATGGGCCTGGTCTGTTCTCCAGGGTCCAGTCTTTCCTTATGCTGATAAAAGCGTTTTCTTCTCAACTGCTTCATACAGATGGAGACCCATCAATTAGCCGCTCACCCGAGCTTGAGTGTGTAGCGACCTGAGGAAGAATGTCCGGGCTTCAGGTGAACATGGATGGTCACTTCAAGATTTGAGCGTTGCTTTGGAACCTGTGAGACCTGCTGCCAGATGACCGGTCCAACTCACCGCTCACCATGAAACCTGTCAGCTATCAGAGCATGCCGTCCTCTGTGAATGGTGGACATCCAGATCTTTCGTTGGACCATCTCTTACGCACTTCAAATGTGATGCGCTGTGAGAAGTGTGGGTTCGCTACTGCAGATGCAGTTTTGTTCAAGAAGCACGTGATCGAGCACATGGGGACCAGGTTTTATTGTTTTTATTGTAACAGCGTCTCCTTCAGTGAGGTGGAACTAAACGAGCACTTGAAGCAGCACACTTCAAAGTATCCTTTCAAATGCCCACACTGTGGACAGGGCTATATGAGGAGGCGGTGCCTGTTGAAGCACATTGACCGTCTGCACAGTAAAAGCATCATCCAAGGACCTCCTAAGCCTGGGATGACCAGAAGTTTACTAGTTCCTGTCCCCAGTGCCTTAACAAGTGCACCCACTGCTGATGTGTCACCACTGCGACCGCTAGTTCGGGTGACGTTGCCCTCCCCAGTTGCACCTGCTGTCATATTGGGAAAAGATGAGCAAAGAGGGAAGACACTGGACACAAACGTGCCAAATGCAGCCGATAGAAATGAAGAGCGTGTGTCCCCTTTGAGTGGGCTGATTCAGCACAACAGGGCTCTGACAGTTTCTTTGCCAGAGGAAGTATCCATCCCTGCAGGATGCCTGGTTGAATTAGTTGAAGTGAAAACTGTCAATGGGACGAAAGAGCTAAAGCTGAGGCTCGTGTCTCAACAAGAGAATGAGGCTGTGATAAAGGACACAAAAACGGCAGTTCCCCAAAACACTACAACGGGAAAGGCATTGTTATCCACATTCCGTCACCCAAACACCTTGAAGCATATGTCTATGGGCACGTGCACAGTCAACAGAAAAAAGTGTGAAGCAAAAACAGGAAATGTGGAGCATCCTGCTGTCGCCCTGGTCAATAATCCTAACCATCCTCCAAATCTAGTGAGCAAAGAAAAGAACGTTTTGAAAAGAGCGTCTTCAGAAATAATCAATTTGGAATGTAACTCTGTAATCCCAAACAAAATGTCCAAAACCATGCTCAATCCTGTACGGGATGTAAATGGTGGAGTCAGACTTGCACAAATGGCAGCCGTGAACCATAATGCAGCTCCCTCCCCTGTCATCTCGGGCAGGGTTGGCAACAGATTGACAACCCCTCTGCACCCCGGCGGCATGGGCACAAGTGTTCAAAGAGCGCTGGATGAGAGAAAGAACAGTACTCCAGAGAATTCCAAGATTATCCCACCCCGGATGGCATCTGACACAAGCAATATTAAAGACTTGTCAGCTGCTGTGAAGCTGGAGCCGGGGGAAAACCGCCTTAAAAGCAGCAGTTCTTCAACAGCAGCCAACGTGGTGTGCTTGAACCAGCAAAGCACACCTCCCTCCAAATCCTCCACTTTACCTGTAGCAGCAGTATCCCAAGTGAGACCTTCAGCAATTTCAGTAAATAAAGACAATGTTGAGCATAAAGGGTTTCCTATACCAAGGACTCTAAACAAGCCATCACCAATAAATCACACAGATTTAAAAACATCTGCTTGGTTACAGGAAGTCAGATCTTCTACAGAGAAGAAAAGAGCCATGTCGGAACCTGAGAGCTTCCCGGTCATCTCCTCCGTGTTTTCATTAAGTGACCAGCCGGAGGGAGGTCAAGGCTCCATTCAGCCACTGGTAATGGCTCTGCGAGGCATAGTGATGGAGAAAAAACAGGGCCCCGGCAGCCCGACTCAAGGCAACATGAAAATGATGAATGGCACAGAGCAAATGTGTGAGGCTGAAACGTCAGGCCACTGTACCCGGGTCGCCTCAAAAAACACGTCCATTACTTCAGACGCGTTGCCCATGGAGCCCAAGAATCAGTCTATGAAAGTAGAAGACGTGGATAAAGCTGTTCAGCATACACTGGTGGCCACCCACGATAACATGACTGTCAAAGAAGAAAAGAATGACATCAAAACACCAGACACTAATAAATGCAGCCACATTCCAAATCCCAAGTTATGCGAAGAATCAAAAATTGCCTCAAGTGTAAAGGAGTCCGCAGCTTCAGATGCTCCTCAGCCCACCGACAGAATGGAGCATGACATCTCCTCCAAGTTCCTCACCATCTGTTTGAAACGGGTCCAGGTAGGCGTGTGGCGAAAACGCAAGAAGGGGCTCAAACCTAGAATATCCAGATGTAAAGCTCAGGTACCCATGGGCGGTCTGACTGACTCTTCAGTCATCTATCCCATGCCGCTGAGGGAGGACCAACCAGTTAAGCGGCCCGGACCCAACCAGCCAGTGGTGGTGCTCAATCATCCGAAGCCCCGGGCCTCAGTACACGTTATGACCATGGACACTTTTCCTGACACGGGGACCTCTGAGACTGTTCCAAAATGTCAAATCTTAAAAATGAGACTGGGCAAAGTTATGGGGCAGAAGTACGAAGTGATGGGATGTACTGTTGGAGTTTTTCCATAAGGACACTTAACGTCAATGGATGTTGGCCTGCATTTGTGGGAAGTATTACAATGGAATTCTCTTCCAAGTCGTACACTAAACCTTGGCAAATATTTTCTTAATGGAAGTATAATAGAAGTTATGGGTCAGTGACATTGTCTTATCTGTATTATATGGGGTATCCGTGTGCAATGCAGTCTGACTGCTATGAACCATAAAACAATGACTGTCTGCTGTTGTAGATATCATACAGAAATACACAGATGTTGGGCACTGTTTCAGAAGTTTGAGAAACCATTAGATCTGTCAGAGGTATGACTGCATGCCCTTTATTTGAAAAAGATGACTTTTTAAATTAACATCTCTAATTTTCCTCTGGCACTTCCATGCACTTGACAGCATTAATTCACCAAGAAAGTTATTGGGGAGGACTGATGTTATGACACCTTGTTGGTGGTGGAGGACAGACCCACACACCATAGTGAGCTGAAAGATCTTGGAAAAAAAAGAACTGATTTCTAAAATCCTCAAAAGAGAAGAGCTCAAATTTAAAGAAAGAAAGTTGCATATGTTACAGACTTCTGGATGCGAGGGCTCCTCGGCGTCTGGATGGAGTGTAATATGAGGTGTGAAGTGTCATAGCTGTACTTTAAACTGGAGTATTAAGGAATGTGTTGAGTTAAATGGTATATCCATTTTTGTCGCCCTTTCTTGGTCATTGGTTTGAACTTTATGTGGCCAGTTGTGAAGAGGTCAATGAAAACACTACTATCCATTATTGTTAGAAGGTTTCCAACAACTGCAACAACTGTTTGCTCACTTTTGGCTCTATTGTTGACTGAAAACACATTTTTTTCTGTCATTTTCGTTCTAGAAATGGCCTATCTCGGACATTAACACATGTCCGTTTGCAGAGCTTCAAATGAAGCATAAAAAAATACAGTCGTTTATTATTTTTGTTTTACTCATAAGAGAAAGACATGTCTTTTTTTGTCTTTTTTTGCCTGAAGTTCCTCCATACCTGTGGTCATTTATGCATACTCTGAATCTGTTGTATATTTATCAAAAATCTAAATCGTCTGTCCTGATACTTTGCAGATCTGTTTCTCTTCTTATGGCAGCATAGTGACACCTGTGTGTCCGTGTGTGTTGATAGTGTAATCATACTGTACAGCATAAGGTGCTAGACCTATGTCTACTTTATAGGTATTGGTTGCCAACAGTTTTTAATGTCTTATGTTTATGTCACCTTGAGAATTTATTGTAAATATAGCTATAAATATAAAACACCTGGTGTTCAGAGTTGGTGGTCAGTAGCCGCTAACGCGCCGGCACTCATGCTGTGCTTTTCTTACACTGCAGTATCTGAAGCTGCTGTGCAGTCACTTTCATATATTATTATTTTAAATCGGGGAGTTCTATCTGAACATTTTATCAGACCTCTTATTTACTCCTTGTTCGCTTAGTTGTCACGGTTTGGGTCGGATGTTTTTTATTTGATTCCATAAGCAGTGTTTATCCTCATTGTGATTCATGCTTTTTTAATAACAATTGTGTAACTCTTGTTTTTTCTATTAAAAACATCTCAAATGTCTTAGTTCTTTGGTAGTGTCGCTTTCTGTTATGCTCGATATTTAACATAAACTTTTAAACCAGAAACTTTTCTTTTTAAACTTCAGACATGTTTGGTAAAATCTTGCGTATTTGATGGTCACTGGGGGTTACAGTCCACGTGGCACCGGGCCGTCCTGCAGAGGCTTCAAACTAAAGCAGGTCACTGGAGCTCTGCAGTTAACTAGTCAAAATGTTTTGCCTCCACAGTATGTCTAGCCTCATCATTCAAAGTGATAACGCACGTCTGGTAAATCACTGAAAGTTGAAACTCAGTTGTCTGCAGGGTCAAACCAGCTGTGAATTTACAGGATTCACAATCTGCTTCTAATGGGAATGGGGAAATAAAAAATCTGTCTGATTGAGAAAGGTCACCAAAAGAACATTTCCCAAGCAAGCTCCACTTTTCCTTTTATCAACAAGCATCTTGGATTCCAGCATTCCAGACCTCAGTTATCAGCTGAGGTTTCCAGCCGGGATGCCCTGGGGACCTGCGACTCAAAGGAAAGTCATACCTCAAATAATTAAAACACCCCAGCAGAGCAAATATTCCAGTCATTAGCTCAGGAGCGGAGGTAGTGAAATGTCAACATTAGCAGAGATTACCTGTATAAACACTGTCTCCTGTATCGTATTAGACAGTATCTCAGGCACGGCCGGGATTCTCTGGACCAGGTACATAACAAGTAACCTATCAGATTAGGGTTAAATGTGAATAAATGAAATATGAGCCCTCATAAATTGATATGATTTGGATTTATACATGAAAGAAATGTTAAAAGAAAGTGCAGTGAACCAGCTAGGTTTAATTAATCCTTTTTTTGTGTAATCATTCACGGGATGTGAGTTTAGTTTTTTTCTTTTTTAATGATTAAAAAAAGGATCTTATATTTATTAACATAAGTTTTTAATAAAGATAGCTTTACACTAGTCGTGTTTGGTAGTATCCACGGTAACTAATTGTCTGATATAAAAAATAATGGTTTGAAATGGCTTTCATGTCATGTTTGCTTGGATCTTGCCTGATTTCTTGTCCCAATTTGCATAAACACATCCATGAGTTCACTTTCGTGTCTTTTACTTTCCACTTTAATTAAGCCTTTTAATCCTTACATTTTTTAATTCTTGTAGCAAAACCGCAAAGCAGAGCTTTAATAAAGTGATGGATGCAATTTCCCGTAGCATTTTGTATCTATAAATACTTTCATTTGACATATTTATGTTATAGAATTTTTCAAGTGACAAATAATGTTCTGGTTTCATCCTCATGATATATTTGACAACTAAGTACATGAAAGTACAAAAAATACTCCAAACCTTTGGCATTTATCACATCCTGATTCACTTTCTGACATTTTTATTGCATTTGTATGAAAAAACATTCAAGAAAAAAAGAAGTTGAACAGATGTTAGATCTGATGTTTATGAGCTCTCAATAAATTTTGGTCAACTTTGTGCTTATTTTTACACTGCGTAGAAGAATGAGATGGCGATCTGGTACAGATATTACTGTAGGAGCAGTTCAACATCTCCTTTACTTATGGGACACGTCAGCACGCAGTTGTCTGGGTATTTGATTCCAGAGATATTTCTACCACTGATGAGTATTATTGGAAATAGGGAGTGGAATTTGATGATGTCCGCCACAGAGTCGAACATCTGAGGAGAAAACAAGATGGGAGTTGCGTAAAAGTGCTCAAAAGGTCTTGTTTTCAAACTTTATTTTCAGTCGACTCACTTCATTTGATTGAAGTCCAGTTCCCAGAGCAAACTTTCCGGTGCTCTCAATGAACCGAATTTTTACATTATAAACCTTCTTGTCGTGGAACACCACCAGAACCAAAGGCTCACTGTCGCTGCTGTTGGAGCAATCTCGAACCAAAAACGCACCATTCTAGAAAAAGACAACAAAAATGGAGAAGCTTTGTCTATGACATAAGCATATAAGCAGAATTCTCTTTCTTCTTTATTTTTTTAAAGGTTACACAGATAGATAGATAGATAGATAGATAGATAGATAGATAGATAGATAGATTGTATTCATTCTGAGGTACCTTGTTCACCAGGTGTAAGGCGTGCTCAGCATCTATGCGTTTACAGGCCCCAATGTACCAGCCCTCCTCACAGTTGATCTGCAGCCACAGTTAGGGTTAGGGTTAATTGCAATTAGCAAATTTCCGTTGTCCCCCTTTATTCAGGACCAAAATGGCAGCTCATCTACCTGAGACCTTTTCACTGAACAAAACTCATGCTGCTCAATGTCCTCCTTTGTCTGAGGCCACTCGTGGTGAAGGCGTCTCGACGGAACCCGCTCTTTAAATAGTCGTTAATGTTATGCTGTTGGAAATTCAACTGGATAACACTGATTGTGAAAATCTCTAAAACTCTTACCCAGTCTTTGGTGTGATCTAAATAAACGGAGAAAAAGCATGTGTCAGCAACTTTGGACCAAATGACTCTTCTGAACAGCTCGAGGATGGGAATCCGCACCTTTTGTCTAAGTCGTGAGTTTCCAGATCCCAGGAGTGCCTTTTATTGAGCGGATGGGCTGAAGCGCACTCAGCAGGGTGTTGACCTAAAAAGCAACACGATTGAACCTTTGATCGTTTTCACCCTGATGTTGCATCCATTATCAAGTTACTGCTTTCATCCTACCTCTGACATGAAAAGCAGCATCTTCCTATAAAAACAACAAACATTCATCATCCGTCTGTTGCATGTGAAGTATGACTGATACAGTTCTGCATGTTTGAGCACGTACCTCTTCAGGCGTCCTCAGCTTTCTGTCAAAATGAAAAAGAATAAGTGATTTCATTCGGTCAGAGCATTCGGCCCTCTCTGTGAGCTTTCTCCTGGCCAGCAGGTGGCGCCGTTGGCACACAGTACAAACTGCTGCACGCAGTTGTTTTTACAATCTCACAAACATGGCAAACCACAACTAAATAAACCAGCACAAAAAAAGAAGTCAACTCACTCATTTCCGTGGGTCTGATGTTCAGAAAGGGCTGCAAATGCATTGACCATCTCAAAGGTAAAAGTCGACGGCGAGGAAGAGGACCTGGGAGGACGCAAAAACTAAATCCATCCATATTCTGGTTCCTGTCCGTCATGAGTTTCTGTGACATAAGCTGTGCTGATTACCTCTGTGAGTGCTGGGTTAGCAGAAAGTGAGAAAAGAGATCAGGTGTTTGATGAGTGGTGGTGAATCATTGCAGTTTGGGGTTATGAATATGCATATGACGTATGTGGGTAGTTTACCCGAACATCTGGTGGAAGAGGTGGGAGTCTTCGATCTGTAAATACAAACTGTGAATACGTGGGATGGTACTGCAGCCTGGACCCATAAAAATGTGTTCAGCCCTTTGGTGGGGTTACCTAATTTGGTCTTTTTTCTTCCCGGCTTCAGGTTTCGGTTTACGGGAGGCCCTGTTTTTCAGAGGTAAAAATAAAGGTGGAAGACACTCATTTACATATGGAGGATCGGTTTTAATCAGCTGTTCAGGGTGATGGTGGACTTCTGCCCACATGCATTTATGTATTTAACTCTGGATTCCCACTTCTTTGGCTTTGGCCCCTTCAAGTTGCCTGAAATGAAATGTTCCTAAATCTGCTGCAGGCCTGTTAGTTAGATATGTTTAATTTTGGTTACATTTACAAACTGTTTTAATGTAGCATTTGCCCCTGCGATGCTTTTGTAAAAAAGCACAATAAAATACAGGTACACAAAATATTCCTACTTTGGTGGGTGTTTTTTTCAATTCTTTAGAAAGTGTTAGAATTTTGGCAAACAGAATACACCAAGGAAAATGTTTTCATTTATTAATCTTTTTTGGCTATCAAAAATTGAATTGGAAATAAGTAAAGCAGGAGTTTAAGTCAATGTTTTCCAGCATGGAACAAATTTATACAAAGCTTTACAAAAAAAAAAAAAAAAGGATTGAAAGATTGACAGTGGATATACAGTGAATGAATACAGCGAAAGAATACGGTGCACAAAAGGGGCCGGAAACAACTGCAAGGTTTGGAGCAAGCTGTGAGTTCATGCAGTCACTTTTAAGTGTACAATGCATTTATGTGTCTGGCATTTTGTCTTTTCCTCGTATTTCACATCTTTTAAAAGCAATGTTCCTGAAAGTCACAGAGTTGGTGACACAATGCATTGCATCTTTAGGAAAACATGGAAGAGGGGTCCTTTTTTTAGGATATTTGGTTTGTGTATGGGCTTCGAATGAGTGATTAATCCTTATTGATTAATATAAATAATGACTTTGGGTTTCTTTAAAATAAGGCTAATATGGACATTTCTGCTGATGGGAAAGTCTTGGGGAATAGTCATGTATTTAAATTGTGTATATGGGCAGTTAAATTTTGGTTTTGCTGCTATATTTGTCTGTTCTTGGGCTGGGAGATTTTCTTAATTCTATTATGGAGAGAACTGAAAATGAATGACTCTTCTCAAAGAAGTTCAAAGGTGTGCTGAGTCTTCCTACCTTCCACTGTTTCTGACCCTTGAACCAGACCATCCCACAATTGTTCTGTCTCAATAATGTTGCTTAACATTAATATCTGGCAGCAGTTGCCTAAAAATGACTTAATGTGCACCAACCTTTCTAAGCCAAATCACATGTAACAGCCTACGAGGTATATTATTTCTCAAAAGTAATAACTTTTTTTTTAGTTTATCATCTGGTTACATAAGCACAAATTCATATTCCAAGCTTACCCTCAGTGTGTAAGGTCTCTCTGGGTGGACATTTTGGAGGTTTTCCAACCTGATTGACAGGAGAGTCATGTGAGTTCAGGGACCAGTAAGTACAGCAGCAAAGTTGAGGAAGTACATTCATTTAAGGATAATAAAAGAAAAACTCACCGAAGACAATGATGAAAAACTTGAACGATCCCTGTCTTGAAAGCAAACAAAGTTGTGATAGTCATACTTCCATCACTGGTGGTAATTGACATAGTTTTAGTGGCGTTAGCTCTCTAAGTTCCTATCAGTCTTCTAACTCGGCTGATGGTGGTCCCTGAAGTACACAGCAGGACCGGACTGCACTGGTTACAGAGTGACACCGCCCCAAATTTGAACGTTAAAAGCCACATTCGGTATGTAGTTTGAGGCCAGGAGCTGTGAGGCCCCTGGCTGTGGGCCACGTGCAGGAGAGTTAAAGGAGTCTGCTCCTTCTACTCATTCTTCCTCCTCAGCTCCTGGATAATTGTAATCTCCCGCAGTCTGACTCAGCCAACAGATGGCCCTGGAGACCAACTAGCAGATCATGCTCACTCAGCACCAGCTCCTGCTCACATCCCCACTGCTTTCATTCTATGCTAAAGATTTTTTTTCAGCGCTATTCAGCTTCATTGTAATTATATTAAGAAGGGCTTTTCAAGCTTTTCAGTCTGAGTTTGTGAAATATTCTCAGCCTCAATCCTCTAAAGTGCAAATGCTACTCTAAACTCTGGTCAAGTTTGGGACTTTCATTATTACTGTTTTGGACGTTCGCCCTTATTTCCAGTTAATTAAAATAATCATGCATTTTCATAAATTAATGATGGATTGTGAATCAACAGAGATCAAAAGTCCGTGTTACTAATGGAGGTAAACAGTGATGACCGCTCATTACAAATAATAGGCAGCATTTTATTAAGAGAAAGATAATAATTGAAAAGTCTGAAATAGCCCTGGATGGACTGGCGGACTGTCCAGGGTGTACCCTGCCTCTCGCCCGTTGACCACTGGGATAGGCTCCAGTTCCCCCCGCGACCCCATGAGGGAATAAGCGGTATTGATAATGGATGGAGTCTGAAATATTTCCAATAAAATTACAGGAGGAGGAGGTGAAACATATTGTGCACGGAAGAGTGTGTTACTGGGTGTGATACCTGCATACTCCCTCTCTTCATTTATGGGCAGTGCAGGAAGTATACACACTCCTTGGTTGTCATCCAGGACCTCCACCTCATCATACTCAGGCTCGTTTACGTTGTTATAGTTACCACATGAAATAGCATTATTCCTGTCTATCCTGACGCGATCCTGTGAAGAGGACATTGCATATTTTGCAATTAATTAACACATAATAAGCATACAATATACTGTGTATTCAGCCCTTTGTTGCCCGATTGCGATAGTGTGCTTCTTTTCCTCTTCACATATCCGGTATATAATGATCAACTCATAGCTGATGACTGACGTTTGATTATGAAGGAGTGTGTACATATCAACTATCAGCACAAGAATATGAATATTGCAGCATTACAACACAGTGATGCTGCACAGGTGGACATAAGTAACTGCGACGGAGCATTAAAATGATAAGCTGTCTACGCCTGAAATAATAACAAATGACTCAAAGTGTCAGCTAAAGAGGTCCTGTGGGGCAGTTGGACAAACTGGAGTGATGATGCATGGATTATTGGTGACCGCATAAATCATGTAAGTTTGGAGTCACTGTCATCTACATCAGAACGGGGTATACAAGTCAAGAAGGACTTTTTCTACAGAAGAGGGTTGGTGTGATTTAGGTGCATCCTCAGCATTCAGTAAAACTAAACATAACACGTTAGTTGTATATTTAACCCATTTAAATATGACTCCTTAAGAGTAAAAATGGATTATGAGTATTATTATCAGAAAGTGATTATGTAAAACTACAAATTTGGTTTATTTGGTGTTTATTCAATTTCAGCTCAGACACATTTTTCCCCCTCTCCCTTCATTTAGTCTTGTAATCCTGCAGATTTTGAAAAGGAGGGATATTTGAAATTATATGATAAAATAAAAGATTGTTTGTCCAGTGAGAGTTGAATGGGCTGTGCTTTTTATTCAGGAGAAAAAATGCATCTTTTGCCTTCTTGGAGCAGGCAGATTTAGTTTTGATACAACTATAGTGATTAAATAATTTACATACATACATACATACATATACCCTCTCTTATATATTGATTATGATCCTGTTTAAGTAGCCTTATAGATACATTAAATGCATCAGCCAAATAAGCCCACTGCACTCACTTACTTTATATATTTACTGTATTTAAGAATTTATGTAATTTAATATCATGTTTAAGAAAAAGATATGAAAACTACATGAATGCAAAAGGCCATACTTTATCAAAATAACGTCTTCCCAAAACTAGATTGTTCTTTGTGCAGCATCCCGGAGAAGCATCGGTCTTAGCTGTTTGGAAAAAGTATTGAAAAAAGTTCTGGCAGATCCTGGCAAGTTCTGCCAAAAAAACCTTGATATGTTTTGAAAGACCTTTTAAATGTGTCCTTCTGGAGTAACAGCTAATATAAACTAAACAGAGAAATTGGTAAAAAATTATAATAAAATATTAATAGATGATCTTAGTGATTTGGTAACACTAATGATGACTGAGCAGATTCTTTTTATTTATCTTTATGCTAAAATATGACTGACCCCTAAAGTCCTTCCTAGGAACATTAGTTCAGAACTAGCGGGGGAACTAGTGGGGAACACTTTAGATAAAAGCACCAAAACTCACCATGATCACAGCAGACACATTTCAGTTCCCTTTTTTTGCAGCTAAAAATGGGGGGACAGAAATAATACAAATCATTAGATAGATGGTCTGTCAAAGAGTGTGTCCTTCCAACACATGTTACTCTTTTTTCCTCAACAGTTAGATATGCAAAAGATATCGATATGTAGACACTGCACTTTCACATTTAAAGGCGTCCAAATTCAATTACTCTAACATTCAGCAAATAAAAAGGATACACAACGTCACGATCTAAAAATAAATATCTACGTCTTTGCACATTTTATATTATCTTGAGATTCAGCGTGAGATTTAGTGACAGATCAAATGAAACAACAACGGATCTTCGATTTAGTTCTTCTTTCAACAACTCAGCTTTGGTACAGTCACTCTCTAGTTCTGAAATACTGGACTCTAGCTATATCATTTGTTTTATTATGGCTTTATACCCTGTTGTGTTATCTGGTGATCATTCTATCTTCAAAAGAGGTCCTTTGGGCATCAGATTTGCAGTGTTAGCAGAGTTTCTGCATACATACGGTATGTCTTAAGTCAGAGACTTTAGATGTTAGCGGTGTTATGAGGAATGATCAAGTAACAGCCGAGAATGCAATGATGCTCAAAGCAATTATCTATTCTTTAAAGTAGTTATCTTTATAGTGATGAAAATCAGATTTGGGGACCTTGCTAATGTAAAAATTGAAAGTCGTGGAATATATGTCAGACAGACCCCCATAAAGGAAGATGGGCTTCAAGGATGCAATACACTTTAATGGTAACTAAACTAACCACCTTCTCTAACTAAAGAAAGATTTCAAGACAGAAGATGTCAATTAATTTATATGTGGGAAAAAATGTGTAAAAATTCACTGAGATTATTTTCATTCTTGTAAATATATTGCTTTTTCCAACTTATTACTATTTAATTAAGTCACATTTAATTTCTGCATAGCAGTTCTAAGCAACTTGGAGAGGCTAATTGCAATACAAGGACAATTCTCACTCTAAGATGAAAATCCTGCAGTGAAAAGCTTCTCCTTTCTTATTGAAACATTATTCTATTTTTGCCAAAACTTGTCTTTGGGGTTTGGATACTTAAAACTACAGGATTTATAAATTGAAAATAATTCAGAGGTTACTTACTTTTCTCAGAAGGTTTGCACCCAGTGGATGTCCAGTCACCTTTAGTTGTTGTATACAAATGATTTTTTTCTGTCTTCCCGTACAGACACAGAAACACTTCAGTGCTTTAGGCTCAGTGTGAAGCAGCTCACTGCAGTAGCCTGAAATAACTTCCTGTGTGGCGTACAAGTGGCCTATAACTTGAGGTTTTCACTGTCTTTGACAGTAAAAGGAAGGCGAGCATCCCTAGTTCTGTTTTGTTTTGGTGACCTTTGAAAAGAAAACCAATAAAAGATTTTCAGAGGAATTGTTAAAATGTATTACTCAATCCCCTTTCAGCAACATTCTGTATTGTAAAAAATGTGCAGTGTTTCCTGCTTTAAGCCTTTGTGACACACGGTGTCACCGCATGTGGGGCTATTTATATCCCCCACACAAAAATGTCTCTGATATACTATAGGATAATATAATATAATAAAAATTGTACACATTATATGTATATTTAAAGAACAAATCATTGTGTGGCTGGGTTTAATGATTCTGCCACAGCAACAGGTATTTCTTTCTGTAATACTGGAAACATACTGACAAGTGCAAAAGGAAGCAGGGTGACATTTACTCTTTTTGTCGCCTTGCTTCATTATTGTTTCAAACAACTTTTCTGGAAACACATTTCACTTTGTAACTATATCTAATCAAACCTAACCTTTTAGGGTAATAATTTTGACTTCGACTAGAATAACCACAACATGTTTCATTTCATATTCAGAAGATGTTCAAAAGAACAATTCAAGAGGCATTTTAAGCAACGCTTAATGGTTATGTTTTACGCTCGATGACATGTAAACTAATATTTAAATAACACTGATAAATAAGATACTCGGAGAAACTTTTGAGAATATTCAATTTTTTGTTGGTTTTCATCAGTCCATCAGATGAGAATAGTTACACAAAGAAAAAAAAGAAGCAAATCCTGATCCTTTAAAATGTTATTGTAAACCTACAACTACTTTTCTGCCCAAGTACATGACAGAGATTAAAGATGAGCTATATGACCCTTTTACAAACTTCTTCGAGACTGTTCTATGTAATGGTTCAACAGGAGTGAGCACTCGAGCTGGAAATATGAATCCACACACACAGATTGCGACAGGCCAGGGTTCAATTCTAACTCGTGTTATTTATCAGAAGAGCTGGTGGCTATTTTGTATATCCACAAAGGCACACATTATAGCTGGTATCATGAAAAACCACAGCTGTAGAGGTAGTATCCCGAATATCTGGGAGGGATAGGAATCATCAAAACTCCAAAATTTAGGAAAACAAGTACAAAAGCTTAACATACGTTAAGATATTTTCGACTTCAAAATGTTCTCAGTATATTGCTGGTTTTACATCCTGTGCAAAAGTTTCCAAAAGGTCATTTTAAACAGGCTGTGCAGGTGAGCGCAGTTAACAGTCAGTGTAAAAGTGTAGGTCAACTGAACTGGCTGGCTGGTTTTTGTTCTTCAGCAGAGCAACAGTATGGCACAGTTTCTCTCTGTGTTCAGTGGGTGGGAGGCCCGGCCACTTTCACAAAGCACTGAAGCACAGCATAAGCGCACAAGGTCAGCCTCTCTCCTGTGGTTTCATCTGCAACGGTAGAGCCTGACTTCCTGTGACAGATTACCATCTAGCCTCTCATATTCTCACTGATGCTTATCTTTTGAGCCACAAACGCCAACTCTCTGAGCATCTCTACACCTTGGCCCCCAGCGACAGCTCAATCAGCCTGTCAATCTGGCAGCTGATCCTCCGTCCTCAACCCCCCCTCACCCTCGTCCCAACAGCCCAAAAATGAGCCGGCTTTGTCCCGGACCTGTCACGAAGAAATAAGATACAGAGTCCCACTCCGAGGGCCCGAGGAACAGTGAGGGTGAATATGGGGGAGGTTTGTGCATGTGAGGGGACTTGTATTCAGAAGTTTAGATGACATTCATAGCTGAATACAACCCAGGTTCTGACTTGTTAAGATAAAGATTTTCAGTTCCTGGCTCTGCAGGAAGGACGCATGTGATCACAATGCTAAACCACAGGCAAAGGAGCAGAGGTACCCTCTGTATAGAAAAACCACAAAGCGACAGTAAGTGTGTTCTGACAATTTCCTATAAGAGACTTACTCTTACATCATCAGTCTGCACAGCTCAAAGTTTACTAAAGGTGTGATGCTGGATGGAAGTAAATTAAAGACAGAATGCATGTCTACATACTGTGTCTAGAGCCAAAACACTTACCACTTATCATTTGTCATTTTTCATTTCATTTCTCTGTTTATTACTTATTTGTTGTGTTTTATTTTGCTATAATTTGGTCACTTTAAAATGGTGACCGGTCATTTTAAACAATTTCTAACTACTTTAATTGTACTTATTTCCACCTTGCGTCACAAGTGTTGCACAGCAATTTCCTCCTGGGTAAATAAAGCTTTTTGAATCTTGATTTGATTTGCAATTCTGCTGCGTGCTGCAAATCTGCTATATTCTGTTAAAAAATAACACATGTCACAAGTTGAAAGAGAGCTATTTTAGTGTTTTAGTGTCAGTGCATTGCATGAAATGGTCGTAAGACGACTGGTCCATCACATTTAAGGCAACAATTCCACACTTTAGAATTGGAGCGTTGGGGGATGGAGTTACACTCAACTGTCAAGCTGACAGGTCTTCATTACAGGTCCTGCAGATAGGAATGAATTTCCCAACCAGTGATATTTGATAGTGACCGTACCTCGAAAAGTCACAAATTACAAAGACTTGGTAGTGGTAGGAAAACATTGTGGATCACATTTAACAGTTAATGTGATATAACATCAGAACCAAATATCCTCTGCCTAGCCCCGCCCTCTTAGCTAGACACAAAGAATTAATTGGATGAAGTCTTTGACTTTGTTGATGATCGAATTTCTCAAACAAACAGAACTTGAAAACAGCTAATTGCTAATTTGCCATTTGACAAGGCAGACATGGCAGATTATCCACATGCTCCGCAAACATCATTCCTGATTATTTCGGCATTTTGAGTATTTTTCTTCTCTTTGCTGACACCCAAAACTCAATCATCTGTGCCAACTACCTAAACATCAATCGACTGACTCCACAAAAGCACCGACTCTTCTTCCACTCTCACCAACTGAAAAAGCAAAGCTCTTCTCTACTCATCGTGGGCATTTTCATTCATCTATGCAGTTTACAGCTCATGCAATGTCGGTTTAGTTTTGTAAAGATGCATACAGCATTCCTTTGATAAAGTGAGCACAGGTGCTATCTTTATTAACAGGATAACAGGTGTTTAAAGAGCTATGAGATGTGCACATATCCCCTCTTGGGTTTGTTTACCATTCAGATTAATAGGAGAGGGTTATACATGAATTTCTTTTAAATTAAGGTCAGCTAGATAAAAAATAACCCATTTATTCTTTGTTTACTTTCTCAATTCAAATTATTCTAATCAGTTTGACAAGACATTTTGGCAAGTTCAAAAGTGTTTTTCTCCAATATAAAATGTATAGGTGAAGAATGAGATCACAACATACAGCCAGAGAGATAAGAATGAAGGAATGGGCTGGCAGTCTGGCTATCTCTCTGATGAGCAAGAGATTCGCTAGTGTGAATAATTAAAGCCTGGAGCAGCGATAGGAATCTGTAGACTCTCAGCTCTGATAATACTTGAAGGGCGCGAGAGGCCTTTGGTGCAAGGAGGTGGTGGCTGAGATGACATTAGTCACCCTCTGTGTGTCCCAGGCAGCCATTAGGGCGCAGCGCTGAAGGTCAGGAGTGGATGGGGGGACAGAGAGTCACCGGTGGTGACTCACCGCTGAAGTTGACTTGAAAATGAATGTCTTATACAAAGAGGAAGTTAGGCAGCAGTACCAGTACGATAATTTGTCACCTGAAAACTATTGTCAGTTTGACAAGGATACCCCAAACTACAACTATTATTACTATTTTTAACATATATGTATATATATACAAGTCTATACACATATATATAAACCATCCAGGGTGTACCCAGCCCCTCGCCCATTGACTACTGGGATAAGCTCAAGTCACCCCGCAACCCCATTTGGTAATAAGCAGTATATGAATTCAGAGTCACATCTCTGCAAAGTGATGCAGTGTGTCTTATTTATGGGATTATTTGAGACCGAAATTCATATTACTTGTCTTGCAAATGATGCCGCTCTATATATAGACTGGGTAGACATCACAGCATGCAAAAGCTGTACTGAAACAAACATCTGTACGATCTCAGCTGCAAACCTCCCCTTCTCTGACAAGTGGTATGATTGTACTGTAAGCCTGTCTCTGTCAGACTTCTCCAAAGAGCGCTCGATCCATTTTAATGGTAGCAGTACACTGGTAGAGCCTCCCAGGCACCCCTATATTCAGGTCAGCTCGCAGCAAGAAAGATTACTTGATTATTCCCTATTTATTCCAGTCGTCTTTCTAGCTGTGGAGTCTCTGTCGGAGTGAGAGGAGCCCCGGCTAATGAGCTGAGAGCCAACCTGATGATTGTTCAACAGCTCAGAGTTGCATCTTAACCCTCTCACAAGTCATTCATCAGCATTCTGAGGGATTCATGCCAGTGAAGGATGCGTGGAATATGGATGTGTTTACTATCCTGTTTGCTAATACTTGATTGGTAGAGTCTTGCTTTAGCAGCAAAAGTTTCTTTGCAGCTTTTTAAAGTATTTAAAAAAAATGTCCAATGTGTACAGCCGTTCTACATGACTTGATTTTCATAGAATGCACAAATATGGCCCACTTTCTCAAACACGCCATCACTGGTGCAGCATAAACCAGATCATGTTTAAAAAAACATACTGTGGAGAGGTGAATACTGATGCTTCATGAAAGAGAATATGAAGCCTTCTTTCAGACAAGATAATTCAGAAATGAATGATTACTGCAGCAATAATGCCCACCATGTTTATTGATGAGTTGTCTTTAACAGTCAGTTAAACTTAAGCTACTTTCAGCCTCAAGTGTGTAGCCCATAGAATAAAAACACTTGCGACTTTATTAAACAACCCCAGAATTTTGTAATGTTATTAAACATTCATACATACAGTATATAAAAGCAGTAGTTAAAAGAAATGTTAAGAAAACTTTTCTGAA